ATTGTATAAAAATTGGGTTTTGTTTCAAAACATTGAAATGGCTATACCATATTCTGAAACCCTAGACATCTGAAAACAGACAATTTGTGTCTGATGGCGATCTACCCAAAAAGATCTGCGTTTTATAAACGAAACTTTCAAAAAGATAAAATTTAAATTATGTTTCGGAATAACTTTATTACTACTATATCCTTATATTTTGCAGAGGCGTTTTGGGGAATGGGAAAAGTTTCCAAAAAAAAACCGATAAAAAGTTTGGGAAAATGGATTTTTCCTTAACCACAAAAAATTTCTACAAAAAATGGCGTAAACGTTTATGCAGAAAATAGCTCACACCATGTTCTTTCAATTCGACCAATAAACTCAGAAACAGCGTTTTGCGAGTTTGAAAAAAATTCCAAAAAACAATCGAAATCTCAAAATTGTCAAATTCAGAACTTTGATCAAATTGATCGAAATTTCAAAAAAATTATTTTCCCATATCAAATTTTTTCTAGAAAAAGAGGTTAATCCACTAACGCACAGAGGATTCGTAGAACCTCTAATTCCGCTTAAATTCTCGACACCAGATTTGGCACGGTAGTTTTCGATAAAAGTAACAAAGTTTCCAAAAAACGATGAGAAGCTCTAACAAAACCGACTTTTCCAAACACATTTTTTCTTCAGCAGAAACTGGGGCGCATAACTTAGTTTTCGATTGATCTTTTACGCTCAGATTTGTGAGGGTCGTTTTTGAGCAAAATCGATGAGTCAAAACAACAACCAAAATGTCAAAAAATTGTTTTTTTTGGAGGTCATGATTTTTTTTAGAAAAAAATCAGAATGAAAGAGGGAGCTTCTTGAGCAAAAAAAGTCCCCCGCGATCAATTTTTTTTTTCGATCGAACCCTTATTTCACTTATTTCAAGATATGAGATGGTAGTTTTCGGAAAGAACGGGAAAAGTTTCAAAATCGACCAAACTGTCCAAACAATGGCATTTTTTGAGCCCACATTTTGCTCTCTATTAAAATTAGGGCGTAGCGTGTTATACAGAAGAGATTCCTGCTGTTTGTTTTTTCCAAAGAAATTATAAAATCAAGTTTGGCATGAAAGTTTCTGATAGATAAATAAAAAATCGACAAAACATTTCAAAATCACCGCCGTTAAAAAATTTCAAAGGCTGTTGAAATTGGAGTACGGAAAACGATACTACAAAGATATGCAGTCACATATGGTAATAGCCAGTCTTTTCATTGATAACAATTCTTTGACAAGGAGGCGAAGTTGCATTTCGCATACTCAAGAAAAATATGACTGATACCGCTACTGGGAAAACTGATTGAGTAAAACTTTGAGTCTACATACTTTCTTTGACAAACGCCAATTATAGGTCTACGTAATTGCTGTGACGCAAGCCAATTAAGACGCTCTAGCAATCCATTTGAAAAAAAAATGTTACAAACTAAAATGCCTTAATTACAGCGGAGGCATTTTAACTAGTTTACGAAAAAGCTCATTGAAAACATCCGACCCTGCCCAGGTTCGAACCCTCTTCTTTTGTTGCGGGTCTTCTTACCTACTTTTACGCTGTAGATCCATAATACCTTGAAGCCAAAGTGCAGCAATAAATTAACACTTTCAAAATGAACACTGACATTTGCGACTTAGGGTGGAAAAAAAAACAAAGAGAACTAGTTTTATCACTCAAGTTTTGCTTGAGTAAAAATGAATGAAGTAGTTGTCGAGAAAAATTGAAATTTCAAAAAAAAATTGAACAAAAACCGAAACCGTTCAATTGAAACAAAGTAAAAAAAATAAACTATTCAAGACAGACTTGGTAGAATGACAAATTACCGAACTTTCAATGAAAGTTGAAAAGTTTTTAAAACAAAAGTAAATTCAAACTTTTACAAAAAAATCCGATAAAAACAGTACTAGCTAATTTAATCTATATCCAATAACTGGAAATTGAAACGAAGTAAGCCAGGCCAAAAACATGTATTCAAAAAAAATCAACATTTTTGAAGACAATCATTTGAAAAGGTAATTACTGACGGAAACGAACTACAACAATTCACTACGTAATTGAAGTTAGTTTTCTATGAATTTTCACGAAAAAGAACATGTCCGCTTGCAATGAACGCCAAAAAACAGAAAAAATTGCCGACTTGTTAATTTGATAAAATTTCAGCTTCTGAATTTCAAAGAAAAAGCATAGCGAACTGACAGTTGAAAAATGGTAATAAACGCAAAAAAACTGAAAAAAAACTTGTTTTTCAAAAATCTTCAAATTTCAAGTTTCGAATAAAATAAAAACAGATGGCTTTAGAGCTTTTATGTTAAATTTAACCCAATTTGAGAAAACTAGATCAATAGGTAAAAATTTGTTCGCTGGGAAATCTCTTGCTTAATTTCGAAATCTCGAAACTAGAAGTCGATCACGTTTTTCGTGACCTTTACGTTTTTGCTGTTTGATAGTGGCGTTTTGCTTTCTTTTAACAATATAAATACACTGAACTTAAAAAGAAATCACGAGTCAAACCCCGAAAAATTAAAATAGAGCGTGAAAAAAAAACTAAACAAAAAATCAGCAAGACCTATATAAGAAAACTCACTCAATTCTTTTTTCTTTACAAGGTAGCCTTGAACCGTTTTGGATTTCTAGATTAAACTATGATAGACATCGTAGGATACAATTACTCTAATTTGAGTAACGTGTATCTCTAGATGAATTTTTATTTCGCTTCGTGATTTGAGCCTGAACAAATTTTGAGATTTACGCTGAAATTAAACGGAAAAAACCCACGAACTTGCAGTCTTCAACTAGTCACCAATGAAGCAGATAAAACACATGACATTAAACTGCCAATTCCTAAATGTTCTGCAGCAAAAGTGCGATCATAGTAGTAGTTGAGGCTTACTCATCAAGTTAGTTTTCTCAGATATAAATAATGTTTAATCGAGTTTTTTCCAGTTGTTGCAGTGAGAACACTTACAAATGATTCTCCTAAGCACTTATTCCCATACAAGAATTCGTTGACGAAATAATTCCAGTAAAGTTCGCTGATTTTCTTTTTGTTCAATTCGTTTCCGTATTTGTCGAGACTTTTGATAATTATATTGTAGAGAAATTTAGTTCGATGGAAATAATTGTCGTCTGATTTTGATAGCCTGTTTTGACATACTGTTTTGAACTGTCATATTTGTCATCATGATAATTTTCGAAATTAAAAGAAATTTCATAGTTGGAAATTAATATTGATAGATGAAGGAGCAAGTCGTGTATTTCAACATAACGACTCAAAAGTATGAATTCAGTTTAGTTAGTCGTTCTTTGTAATCATTTATAGAAGAGAGGATCCGCTTTTTGGTAGCCAAGCATGTGAACAAAATGTGATGATGGGAACAATGTAACGAGTGTAGGAATGTAGTATTTTAATTCACGAACAGACAGATGAAAAAATTCTTTTCAGCTGTAAAAAAAGCTCGGGTTACCTTTTAAACACGACTGTTGCAGTTGTCAATCCAGTTAAGGCTGGGAGTTATCATTAATCTAAGATCTTTCAGAACATTGGTGGCCTCCAGCTCGACATTATAGTGTGTTGTTGTCAGACAACCTCTTATATTCAAGAGTTTACATTTGCATGTGCTCGTTTTCATCAAGTTTTGGCAGCACCAGTTAACAAGTTGTTCAGCACCTTGATTTAGGTATTCGCTCTAGAGTACTACAAGTGTAAAGTCATCTGCAACGGCATAGCTTTGAGCTAGTCTGGCAGATCTTTGATAAATATTACCACAGACGCGAAGCTGCGCTTCGCAAACAAACGCGAGAAAACGACCAAAAAAGCAGCTCTATCAAGTTACAGAATAAAAGAAGAAATAATCCTCGAATTTGCAAAAACTCGGGGCTTAGCAAAAACTATAATTAGCAAAAATCTGCGATTTAACAAATTTGAGTCACACTCTTTAACCATTTAGCCACGGATACTTAAAATCCCTGAAAACTAGCCACCAATGACGCAGCTACATATGTTCATGAATTGCTAATTCGATGCAGCAAAAGTAGCCCCAAATACAAAAAGATAGAATTTTGCATGTAACAAATCGCACATCATAAAGCCACATTGTGTAAATTCAGCATTTCAAAAAATTGCGAGATATATTGAATTAGAAAATTTCTGAAAACTAAATTTTATAATTGTTAAGATGTTTGAAACAAATAACTTTCTTCGGTTCACTTGATGAATTAAAATGCATCAACTGTTTTAACGTATAAGCATTCGAATGTCAAAGCACATATTATCAATCAGCTGTAAAGATGCAACATCTTGCCAATCATTTTGTATTGCCAATTCCATCTAGCAAATATTGTTGCTTTAAGTCGCAACAATATTTGCAATGTAATTTGGAAAAAAAGAAGGTTCGTAATATGACACATTGCTTCGCAAATGTAAAAACAGTAATGGACCAAGTAATGACCCTTGTGGCACTCCACTGGTAACATCTACATAATCCGCTTCATCGCTGTTTATTTTCACTAATTGTTTTCGATTTTCAAGATATGAGTTGAGCAGACAGAGTAACTTTCCTCCAATTTTAAAATCGATTTATTTTTGGATTAGAAGGTCGTGGACAACTTTAGCAAACGCTTTTGCAAAATCTAGGTAGATTACAATAAGTTCTCGAACTTTCTTGTCATCGTACTGTTGATATATTGAGTCTAAGGAAAGCAAAAAATGGATGATAGCTGATCGTTGCTTTCGAAAACAAAACTGATTTTTGTGAACTTTATGTCGACAATATTCAGAGTTCATCGAAGATTAATTTTTTAAGGACTTTTGATATACAGCACAAAAGACTGATTGGTCGATAGCAACTAACATCAGCTTTATTGCCTTCTCTGAAAATCAGAGAGACCTGACTTATTTTCCGAATTTCGGGGTATTTTCCTTCATTCCTTTATATGCGTGTTGGGTTGGTAAAAACTGAACATGGGTTTGCTTGCGTAATCAATTATCTCTTTGAAAACGGAACAACAGAAATTTAAATTACTTTTTTGATTAAAAAACGCTTCAAATAAGATTGCATACAATGAAATATGAGAATCAAGGTATCCGAAATAAGACTATGTTCATGTTTTTTCTATAGATCACAAATTAATGAATTACAGGATAATTGCTACTTACAAGTTTAAAGTGAAGGGCGAGAAAATTAAGATCTACTTTATTTATTATTAGTTCAAAATTCCAGTTAGTTTGTGCGATAGAAGTGATACTTATTCTCGTGAGCTTCGACAAAAAGCAAATTACAGTAGGGAGGCAAGCAAACAAACATTAACTAAATTTAAAGCATCCACATTATTAAAAAGATAACCAAAATCAGTCGGCAATTTGTAGCGCAGAAAATACAAAATAGAAAACAAATGAGTCCCAACAACATGATCAAACCCAATGCTCAACATCATCGCTTATGCTATTTTCCCAGTTCTTTACTGTCCCAGCCTCTATTCTTCAGGAAGGATGCAGTACTAATTAATTTGTCATTAGGATGCAGAGGCAGTAGCAGCATCTCTATCGTACCTCGCTCTTTGGTACTTCTCAAAAGCTTCTCTCGCCGCTTCCAATTCGCGCCTTCGCTTGTCCAGCGCTTCTCGCAGTTTGATCTCAGCAGCCATTGCCTGCACCTTGCCAGCCGGAAGTTCTAGATCTTGAACTGGCTTTTGTTCAATAAACTCACTGGCGTCCTTGACCAGGGCAGCAGACGCTTTCTTCACATTGTCACTCGCACGCTGAAAAATTATGAAAGTTGCCCTGAACGCAAAAACAACAATACAGGTGAACATTTAAGCTCAAAAGATATGCTTCATAATTCATCAATGACCAGTCGATAAGCTTGAAGGAAAATCATTTGCTCATATCCTTAAATTAACACAGCAGTTTATAAACACTCCACTTAATAAATAACATAGCCACATATACCGTAATTTCCGGATCATCCTAGAAACATAGCATAGAGTTAAAACTTTAGGTTGCTGGCTGCGGCATCACACAGATGTTCAAGTCGGCTTTACTCATTGAGTGTATTATGCCCAGGCGCCCAGAAAATGAACATTTTGTATCTATCCAGCAAATCGGATGAATGAAAATGTATCATGATAACTCGGCAGATGTCATTCCAAGAGGTTTAATGAACACGGAGAACAAAACTAGAAATGATTGTTTGATCTTTAAAGCCTACTAACATTTAGGTTTGTTTCAACAGTGTCGCCCAGCTGTGTCTTAGACTTGCATGCATACACAAGTGCAGTAGTTTTGGCCACCACTTGTTTACTCGCACTGATCAGAGTCTCCTCTTGTCCGTGGCCTTGCATGACGTCATTGGCTCCTCTTACCAGATGGTGAGTCGCGATCTCCACCTCCTTCGCCTGCAAAACTAGACATTTAGATACTTACAGTTGACACCAAAAATTCATTCATAATAATGCTGACCAAAATCTGGGAAACAGCACTAGAAACCAAAAAATTACACTGGCAGATATTTTTTTGCACCTCTGCTATGAAAAAACTACCATCAATGCGAGCTATCTCATAGTGTTGACTTTTTTTATTACAGATATTAATTTTGATCGAAACTGGCAACGTTATTTTTTTCCAACTGAGAGCATGGATGTAATGTTATTTTGATTCTTCTCACCGCTGACACGAGTCCCTCAGACCATTGTGCATCTTTGTGGTACTTCTCCGTCTTCCTCGTGTTGTTCAGCTGAAACCAAATATCGTTCATTTCCTAGGAACGAACCATATTTTGAACGCGAAGTCAGGTTCAAACGCAACACATGTCAACTAAACATTCTCACAGCTCCATTTCATAGCAGGTGCAGCGAACATATATTGACAGGAGATAAAGAAGAGAAAGAGAAGCACCTATGGAACAGAGTACATCATGCTCAATTGATAGAAAACCTATTGTGCAATAAAACTGCAATTGAGCAATTCGCAGGGGCAGTAAGAACATTTTTTGTAGGTGCGATGAATAAGTTAAACTATAGCCCGATGAACCTCATCCCCATGATTATGTGCAAATGTTTCGTGGGAATAGACAACAAATAGGCAGTGAACCAAAGAATTTACATGACGGGAAAATCAAATTAATTTTGTCGACGTCAAACAGAATCGAGCTGAATGAACAGTCACGAAAACAGAAAGCGGAAACCGCCGAGGTGCTATAATAATGAACGGAAAACCTTACCGTGGTGGAAGCTCCTGATGATCTTTTTATAGCGAACTGCACAATACATTTTCAATTGATTATATTTTTGAATTCTATCTTTTCATTCAAGATGAGGGAAAGTTGACGACCATAATAACTTACGATTGAGTCACAGAAGCAGGAATCCTGAAACATAAGATTTGATTTTTTACTGGAGCATAGAAACCGGGAACAAAAAAAAAACGTATGGTAAATTATAGCATATTTCTTCGAAACAATAAAAACATCTAGAGGGGCTACTTTAGCTATTAAAAATTATGACAAAATTCCTACTCACTTTGTGTCCAGAGCATTCGGGTGCGTGTCCGTGTCCCTTAAAACAATTTTAAGCATGAGTCTTTTAGTTTAGTTGTTTCGGCATATAAAGAACAAACCCACGGTTGAAAAAGACTAATGACAACAGAGAAACATGAAACAAACAAGGATAGCCGGTTACTGTGCAAGTTGCACAGAATTTTTCGACCATAGTCTTTAAAAACCTATTAAAAAAAAACGTTTTTTTTTTTCAAATTAGTGTAGTTTTTTTTCTGCGAGGTGTAATAAAAAGTTCTGAAGATAAACTAAAATTTAATCATATTCGACAGTCACAGTAATATATACACACAGAACAGCAGATTTTGAAGAAAAGATACTTAAAAAAATTCATACGAAAATCAATAAAAATTCAAATTTTTCTTTCATTGTTTTTTTTGCAGAAATATATCTTGAATTTTTGAAGTTTTTGATTTCCAAAATAGCATTAAAAAACTCCAAAAACTAATTTACTCCCGTAAAATTAAGCATAAATAATCAAAAAGTTCAAACCGGTATATCTCGAAACTGGGAAAAATTTTTCGAAAATTTTTTTATGTCGTTCGAATCACTACTAAATGGGCTTTAATATGATATATCACTCAACCCATTCCTAAGATTTTTTTTGGTACCTTATTTTGCATGGAGAACAAAAAAAAACTTGAACGAATACAATGTTCCTACCCAATTTCAAGTGCAAGTAGCAAAATGTTCCGCCCACAATGATTGAAGATAAAAACTCAACAGAGGCGAAGTGGAGCCTCGGAACACTTGCGTTACAACAAAAACTTTGCCATGTAAGCTAGCGGATAGAAACCGGAACGCCACTAAGTCGATAAACTCTTTTGAAAAAAAATGTCGGAAAAAAACTAGATCTAGAAAAAATTTCAAACGTTTGTCTCTAAGGATGAACGATTTGAGGGAAACATGTCGAGATACACATTCAAAAACGTCAACTTTCCAATTGGCATATCAAGCGAAAACGAAATTGTTGGCAGAAATAAATTGTCTATAAAAATACATCTACAAAAAATTTCATACGTTTGTCTCTAATTATGTCCAATTTGATGAAAAAGTGTCAAGATACACAATCAGTAATGCCAAATTTGCTATCAGCGCGTTAGGCGAAAACAATCTTTGAAAATTAATACGTTTGTCTCTACAGTTGAACTATTTGAGGAACACATGTCAAGATACACAATCAACAATGTCAAATTTGCAATCTGACCATTACATGAAAACAAAAATTGTTAGCGTAATAAAACCAATATCACATAATATGAAACAAATTAAGCGCAGAAAAAGAAACAAAGAAAACACACCAAAATGCAGCCAACAAAAAGTTGCAGAAGAATCAATGAACGCTATGACTTTCTCATTAAAAATCTCAACTTTCGAAACCTAAAGAAAAAAATTGATGCCCTTAAAGACATTTGAATTTTTATAATAATTTATGATTGAATTTTTTTCCACTTCAATTAAATTCCACTTTCAAAACTAGAAATCGATCACGTTTTTTGTGACCTTTACAAATTTATTGTTCGATAGTGAAGTTTGCCTTTCTTTTAAGAAGGGGAAAAAACTGAACTTAAGAAGAAATCATAAGTCAAACCGCAAAAAAAGTAAACTTGAGCCTGAACAATTTTTACGACTTTGCCTGAAAAACGAAAAAGAAAATCACCAGCACCTATATAAGAGTCTGAACTATGTTCATCGGCTCTTAATCAGAGTTGGCAATTACAAATCGCAAAACTAATTTCAATTAAAGCAAACATTGCTCAAATCAGAAGGAGAGTCCATTCCCTGGAAAATGAGCTGACAAAAATAGGCTAGAAAACAATTGTCGTACAACTCTTTTTTCCAGAAAAACATAGCCAATAGAGAGTTAGAAAAGATTCAATGAACGCCAGGATCAATCTGGAAAAATCTCGCAAACAAGAGGTTAATTACGTTTTTCGTGTATTTACACCTTTACTGTTCAATAATGGAGTTTGCCTTCTTTTAACAAAAAAAATGAACTGTTAAGCGTGTTCATTAAGCTTGTTGTGTTAAAACTGAATGAGTAAAACTTTGAATCTACATAATTTTTTGACGCACGCCAAATATGGGTCTAAGTAATTGCTGTGACGCAAGTCAATAAAGACTCACTAGCAGTCAATTTGAAAAAAAAAAATTACAAACTAAAACGCCTTAATTTATAGAGCGGACGCACTTTAACAGGTATACGAAAAATTTCATTAAAAACATCCGATCCTGCAGTATATGGGGCAATAATAACTTGAAAAAATTAAATGAAATAAACAAAAATATATATTTTTTAATTTTGAGATTTTTTTGTGGAAATCATCCCCCAACACACCATATTAGGTACAAAGTGATATATTTTGCTCCTATTGACAAATCAATTATGGCAAATAAGCTTCCTTCAACCAATTTGGAACGATTTCTATGATGGATTAAAAAATCGAAATTTGTCTGAAGAAAAAAACCACACCGAGCACAAATATTCTGTTACTTTCGTACATTGTTCCGGTACGAAAGTCGGAACAATAATAGTCTGTGTAAAAATCCTTAACATTGGCTGTACTTAACAGCTGGTTATTGATCAAAATGAACACGTTTTATCGCAACAATATTTCCGTCGCAACAATATTTGCTATTTAGGTTGGAGAAAAAAAGTTCATACTATAACACAAGCATTGCTTGCGTAAAGATGCAAGAAAATAAAAAATTGATTAAATAAGCCTCGAAACATTTTAAAAAAACTGTGAGCTCTACGGGATTCAAACCATAGACCTTCATACTAAGCGTTCGTTGTCAAGACCACTCAATCACATGCTCTAGACCAAACACTAGCGACCAATAAACAGGATAGATAAAACACAATGCTATGCATGCAGCAAACCGTGCTACCAAAAATAAGCTGGTTTTAGAAAAAAAATTAGATTCGTAACATAACACTACGCTCTGAGACGGTATAATAGCCTAAATAACGAGGGAAATTGCAGGAGAGTTTGGGATCGGAATCCATATTTATTGCACTTTAAAATGATACCGAACTAAAATTGGATACCGAACTAAAATTGGGCGCAAAAAACACTAACTAATCCATAGCTCAGTAAAACTGAATTGTCTCTTGCTCCGTTCTCCGCGAAATGGTCTGCATAAGTACATAACCTCAGAGCACTTTCGATTTTAAAAACTATGAATGACGAAACCTTTTCGTTAAAAAAAGTAAAACTCACTTCGAGATCAAAATTTAGCGCGGGACATATATTATCTGTTTTGGATAAGAAGGAAGTCAGCTTACCTTATACGTGGCATCGATCGCCGCCTGTGCCTCCGTGGCCGCTCGAATCAAAGTCAGCACCGCTCTTGCAATGTCGGTCGAGGAACCCCAAACAGCGTCGGAGAACTCAATCTGTTTCTCCATCTCCTTATTCTCTACTGCCTTCGCCCCTGTGGTCGTCATCTGCGCCACAAGAGGCTTGCTCGGCCTCAGCTTCGTAAACTTATCAACCTCTCTCGACAACTGAGCAGCTGTGCTGTCTAACGATTCTGCCGCTTTCACATTATGCTCCTCTTTTTCAAGAGAATTTCCAATGTTCTGCAATCTCGTTACCTCCTTGCTCAAGTTTCGCGTGATTTCTGTCATTGACTTGAAGCTTGCCTTGTCTCCTGCGAAACCGTTCTCAACCTCAACCTTGAGGAACTCGAGGAGTTGCATGAATGACTTGGTGCAGCCCTTCGCCGAATTGAACAGGTCCTTCTGCTGAGATGACTCTGATGGAAGACTGAACGCCAAACTCTAAAAACAAAAAAGAAATTGGTTGAATATGAGGACAACATTTGACACGATTTGGCTCTTTTTAAATTGATTTAGGGGCAATAAAAACTAATAGGCTTCTTAATCGATAGATTTCAAGGCTCTGATCGGATTCGAACCAACGATCTCCTGTTTACGAGACAGGCGCATTAACCACTCTGCTACAGAGCCGTACCTACAACGTTTGAATATAAAAAACATTACAAAACACATTCATACCAATAAGCCTTAGTTTGGCTTCAGGATACAAACCAAGCTAACTATGTCGAATCAAAGGTTAAACCAATTTTTATCTCAATTTGTCAAGTAATTGTTGGAGCCAGTTTGAAACACAATATGGTACAACATTGAAGCAAAACTCTCAGATTTAAGCGCAGTTCGAACTTCAGCTGATAAATCAAATTCCTGAGTTTTGAATAGAAAGCTCATGAGTTTTCTATATTAAAACCCACAAAATCCTAGATAACTTTCATTTTAGGGTATTTGAAAGTGCCATTCTTCTCGTGCAAAATAGTTTGACACCTACCCTGGACACTTTGAGCATTTCGATGAGTGTCTCCCTGCCTCTGGTGGCATAGTCCAGTAGCTGGTTGAGATTTCTGGTTCTAACTGAAGATACAATTCCAGAGGCCAGGATGTGGATTGTGTCTGTGGAATCGCTCAAGGCAGACGGATGGGACTTGATCAAGTTTTTGTTCACGGCTAGTTTCTAAACAACACAATGTCATCAAGATATCGCACGAACAAAATGAAACAAAGTAGCAACATCGGTAACACAACATGAGATGCATAGTGAACGAAAAGTTTGCAAAATTCTGCGAAACATGTATATTGTGAAATGTAGCTTTGGTCAAATTTCATTTAATGTTGCACAGTGTTTAACTTAAGTGGAAATTTGCAGACCCATTAACAAGAAAGTTCCGCGCATGTCATTCTGGTTAAATCTCGATTTCTATACAGCGTCGATGGGGTTCAAAAATGGTGCTTTTCGAGAAAATGAGACTCCCATAATTGAGAATTTCTATCACTGGATGCAAACGAGTGATATATATGTAGTGAGCTAGCTAACTAACCATGAGTTCCTCCTCTAGCACGGCTATGCATGACTGGAGTGATTCGGAGACTAAGTCATGTTTGTCCTCAATGTCACACACCATGTTCTGCAACTGGATACACGCAGTCGCCCATTTCTAAACACACTCTAGCCTCATTAGAAATTTTCCCGTTAGTTAATTTCTCTGTAGTTGTGAAACTCATACCGGGCCAAAAAATATTTTATCCTAAAATACAATTCACTAACCCGTAAATCTTAGAAAATACGGATAAGATACGCGAAAATTCATGAAAAATTAAGAACTATAGATTACCTTAAAACCTTAACAAAGATCAGCGATAATTTTTTGTTTTAACTGCCCATAGTTTTTTAAATGAATGCTCAAAAATGGTTTTCCAGTTTATATCTTCAGAAATCTTGTATCGCGATCTCGAATAGTCTTTTGAATATGTAGATCTTTACAAAAAGAATTAGCTGAGTTTAGCACCACTTGCGATAACAATACAAACAAAGCATGACAAACTAGCCAATAGAAAGCCGACGAAAGTTGAAAAAAAATTTCGAAAAACGTCGACGAAAGCTATATCTACCAAAATTTTGCTCGCTTCCAAAATCTCTATCTTGAAAAAATTTAATTAACAGAAAAACATGCCAATTAGAGCCATTAAAATTAGCATCAAAACAAAAAAAACTCGGTAATACAAGTGACAGTTCTTGAGCAGACACTGAGCTCATTGGGCCGTAAAAAAAACTTGTGTAAATCTATCTCAAAAAAAGATACCCTTCAAAAAACTCAAACGGCAATACAAGTCAGTTCTTGAGCAGACGCTGAGCTCATTGGGCCGTAAAAAACTTGTTAAAGTCTATCTCAAAAAAAAGAAACCCTTCAAAAAACTCACACTCATAAGAAACTTGATACAATCATCAAACGAGGCAATCGAAGGCCGCTAAGCCGATATGATATAAATCGAAAACTTCCAGGGCTTAAAAAAGAAAAAAGGAAATCAGATTGAATCAGATTTAGTAAATAAATAACCAGCAACAAATTTAAAATGCAGACATGCTCAAAATATGCATACTCGCAGACAAAAGTATAGATTTGTGGACATGATTCAATGATTCTTGTTTACATGAAAAAAAGTATATAATCCGAATCGATTACGTAATAAATACATGCATGTGAAACGAAGTAAAAACATTCTTTTTTATTTGAAAATTGAATATTTATCAAAAAACGCACAAAAAAATGGCACAAAATCTTGTAATGCACCCCACCATTGGGACTTCAGAAATGGTAACAGAACGATGCGAGACAGCTGAACCTTCAAAAACGCCAGGGATACGAAAAATAGGCCGACAAAACTAAATGGCAGACGATAGTCCGCAAAATCAGAAATCTCTGAAAAAACCAGTTCCCAGCCGGATTCGAACTCAAAGCCTTTGCCGTCTCAAGCATTAGTGTTTCCTCTACTCCAGACCGCTGAATGGTTGAAATTGAATTATTGGAAACTATAAAAAAAAGATAGTTGAAACCCGCGAAACATTCAAATGAAAAATTTAATGCCCGGCTGCAATACCCTTACTTATTGTAAGGGTAAAACCGAGGCGAATCTGAGCTTCGCAAACACTAGCGACAGCACGACAAATCGCAGCACTATAAAAAGAAAATAAAATAAGCCTGGAATTAGTCAAAATTCGGCTACCTGTCGGATTGAATCCAGCGACCTAGAGATTACGAGTCCCATGCACTAACCACTCAGCCACGGACGCTTAATAATTCACAATCACTAGCCACAACTAAATCATAAAACAAATGCTATGAAATTTCTAATGCTACAGATCGTGATTATAGCAAGTGCCACCAAATGAGCTCTTTTAGTTGAGAGCTAGGCTGGAAAAAAAGAAGCTTCGTACTAATACACTACGCTCGCAAGTAAAATTAATGAGGATAGGTAAATTTAATTCGAACGCCACTGGCAAATTAAAAGTTTTTCCAGTCAGGGAGACAACTTTTTGCAAAAAATTTTATAGACCAACTTTTGGGCTGTGAAATCCCTCGAACGACATCATTTAGCGACCAGTTCTATAGGTAGTTAATTCTTCAGCTCTGAGAACATTTCTTTGCAATGAAAAATCACGTACTGATCAAAAATAAGTTCGATAAAAATTAAATTTCTTGATTAATATATATATAAAACCAATTTCTTATTTAATTTAATAAATTGAATGCAAACTGCCAATTTACTTGTATAAAAGTTTACCTAGATTAACATGATATCGTACGCTGAATTATTAAACTTGCTGCGAAATTAAGTAGTCGCATCTTGAATATCTGGACAAATTCGCATCTTGAAAAATTGTTCAGTTTCTTCCAATATTCGAATGGTTTAAACAGCAAAAAAAAAATCAGTATTACTTTTTTTTGCCATAATAAGTAGTCCACAACTTCTAAAAATAGAAAGTAGAATATAAGTTAAATTTGAATCTGGATTTAAATCTGGCATTTCTAGTCCCATTTTCTTTCGCTTGTGGTGCTCTTTCGCTGTGCTTGTGGTCCGAAATCGTATCAGAGACGACGCGGCAGTCTAAGATCTCAGCGACGCAGTGTGTTTTCGCTCAAATCCCGTTTGCTGCTGAAACAGCACATTACCTATAGTCTCTTGCGCTCTCGAATCAACAGTTTTTTGTTCAATTGCCATACCAGTTAGAAGGTCATTAGTGGATTTTGTTAGTGAGAAATGAATTGAAAACACACTGCGATCTGCTGATCTTCGACTGCACACGAACGAATACAACAGAAAGGACACAGGCAAGGTCATATCCAACAAAATTCCAAAATTCAGGGTATTCGTCGAATCTTCCCAAATACTGTGTATCCAAATCGCCCTTCTTTTATATTGACGATGACTGCGATAGTGTGCTGTTGTTGAAAACTGAGGTCGTGATGGCCATGATGATAAATGATTTGCGTGTGACAGTCAAATTTTACACAGATGGAGTGGTAATAGAATGTGTTAGTATGGTTAATTTGTAAGAATGGAGCTAGTCGTTTTAGTGAAAACTTAACATATTCTTATTTTCAAATTCCATTCAACAAAATCTTCTTTCATTTCCTATTTCTAGCTCTTTTTCTCAGTTCCATATATAGAAATTTCATTTCAATTTTGTTCAATTAGAATGAAGAAAAGGACGCAAACTTTAGAGCTTGACTAACCTCAGAGGGTATCTTGACGTGTTTTGTGAGAGGCTGGGTTCCATCTACACAGTGGTTTCGGGTGGCCTCAATAACTCCACTAAGAGAGTTCGCAACTTCTCGCACAGCTCCCAGAAGAACATCCTAAATAAACAATTTACATTCACCAGCACAGTATCATGGTCCAAGCATATAATATAAACCAAGCTTTTATCTCGCTATATTGAGGGACGTGCATGCCCAACTTTTTCCAGTATTTTCACAATAGCAAGTCAAGCGCTCTCATTTTTCAACGTCAAAAACTATGTTGAACGCTTGAACTAGTTACTTTTCAGCGTCCTTTTAATTTAAATTTTAACTCAGCGGCAGGCATTATCTTTCAGGTAATTATTATTTCCGAGTACCTTCGTGGGTCCTTGGTCTTCGCCCAGACTCTTCACTCCATCCGTCACACAACCCTTCAACGCATCTAAGCTTCTAGCAGTAGCAGGCGCAGTCACAGCCAGCATGTCTTGTCTGTCAGTCGCGCTCTGCAACATCGCATAGGTGTCTTTTTTCAGTGCCTCGATTGCCTTCTTAATCATGGGCGTATGCTCTCCAATGCCTCCATGTGCTTCATCAACGTCTGAACTCACAGCCGGGGTATGGACTCCTCCGATTGTGAACAAAATTGCAAACGACGGATCCCCAATAATAGCTGTAATGGTTCTAATGGCCTCGTCACAACTCTTAACCCCTGTCCAGAGCTGTTCGATTAAAATTATTATGTTCTTAATGGTTTCTCGGATGACGTTTGAGTTGCTGTGGAACTCCTGCTTTGCGTGTCGGTCATAAGGGGATTTAAGGATCACCTCGGAAAGCACGACTCGCTCTTTGCAATGAACTCCGAGCATGCGTATCTCATTCTGGAGAGCTTTCACCACGTCATCTTGGTCACCTATGATTATCGTTGAATAGATAATGTTTAATTTGATGTTGGGGAACATGAAAAACTGAACACTGGGGCAAAGCCGAGCTTCGCACTACTTGCGAAACAACCGAAAAAAAACATCAAGCCAGGCCGAAAGAACAAAGACGAAAACCGGTGAGTCGATTTTTTAAATGTGAAATAATATTTAACTTAATTTTTATACATTTGTCCCGGTGGAACTTCATTTTGAAGAAAACATGTCGGAAAACACAATTTAATTTTCACTATTAAATTTATCAAGCGCTATCTAAGCAGAAAGTTATTGCGAAAGGCAACCGTTGGGCCAAAAAAGGCGTAATAAGTTTGCTCTAGAAAAAATTTGAACTTAATTGATATGACATAGATCAAATTAGTTTAAGCCAAAGAAACGTTCGAACTAAAAACATGGCTGACAGAGAGTTGGAAAAGAATCAATGAACGCAATTAAACAAAACAAAAAACGATTTCTTTTGTGAAAAAACTTCCGAATTTCAAAAAAAAAATAGATGCTAATTGAAAAAAAGACCCTTTAAAGCTCTTTAAAATTTTAGAAAAAGTTCTGATTGGGAGTTTTTCAATAAAAGTGACCCAATTTGAGAGAACTGGATCAATAGGTAAATTTGTATTTCTGAGAAATCTGAAAAATAAATTCCACTGTCATAACTAGTAGTCGATCACGTTTTTCGTGACCTTTACACTTTTGCTGTTCGATAGGAGTTTGCCTTCAAAATAACAAAAAGTTAAGAAGCAACAAATCAATTTGACTCCAACTGACATTTTAATTTGGCCAGCTATGCAGAGTACACGCGATGAAACCATTTATGAAATAAAATGAATTCTGTTATAAAATGAATTCTGTTCGTTAATAGCATGTTGTTTTATCTGAACTTGAAGGAATACAACAAAATAATGGGAAAAAGTTGCAGACAGCTTATCAAATTGACAGTAAAACAGCAAATGCATATAGCAATTTAAAACAGAAAAATTAGAATCCAATGAGAAAAAAACTTGAAATCAAACGTCGAAAAACTCAAAAAAAAACTTGCATTTTCATTTAAATTTAACTTAAATTTACATTTATTGTAATTTTTTTTTGAGTTTTTCGGCGTTTGATTTCGACGAAGGTACTTTATCTGTACCAAAAAGAATGCAATAAAAACAACCGATTGAACTATCAAAAACAAAAAACGTAGAGCCATTTGTTACCTGAACTGAAAAAGTTTTTGAAAGTTTCGTTTTGTTTTTTCCATTTTTCAAAGAACTTAGGTTGATTTAAATTTTTTTAAAACTTCATATTAAAAATCAATCATTTCTACATAATACCAAAGAAAACTTATCAAAAAAAAAGCCGACAAAACTAAAACCGAGCTTTTCCAGAGCCAAAATTCTGCCGAAAAATTCTCGTCAGAAACTCGTAACAGGAACCCAAAGCCCATACCTAATATGCAACGACTACACTTATCTTGGTGTTATTGAATTGATTACAATTTCGTCCATTCTTTGAACAAGTTCTTTACTGGAAAGAAGTCTAGCGCCCGATTGAAATACCCTTATGCATATCCCTTATAATCAAAAATCAAATCACGAAAAAGTGAATTTGAGCCTGAACAAATTTTAAGACGTTTCCTGAAAAATAATAAAAAACGAAAAAAATCACCGCGACCTTAATAAGAGTCTGAAACAAGATGACATAGCCATCAGACAGTACGTAATTAAAAAAAAACTGAAAAAAAATTTTCATCTTCAAATTTCGAAGAACAAATACATCATGTATTATATTACATTTCTCCAAGATAAAATTTTCAATTTGAAAAAACTACTCGCGGTCAGAATCAAACCCAGCACTTTTGTTTTTCCAGGTATGGGCGTTATTTCTATGCAAGGTGTGCAGAAATGGTCATTGTATTTGAATTCATTTTTACGTGCGAATTCTGTTAGCAAAGTTGTTTACGGGGTAAAAGTCTGGTACATGGCTACAATACCCTTGCTAATCGCAAGGGTAAGCGGGAATTAATTTTAGAATACAATTATCTTGAGTGTAACAGTACCTCTCATATTCCCAATGGCATTGGATCTCTTGAGAACAGCCAAGTAGCTGTCTACTAAGTCCTTGCAAAGGGGTCCAAGTCGCTCCACTTGCGTATCTGATGCTGGTGTCTGAAACACAATCAATCTCATTGTGGCTCAAATATGCATTAACACAATGAAACCTGCCAAAATGACAACACCGTTGATGAGCTCTCTCACATTATAGTATTCCGACTCCCAGTAAGAAAAAGTATCCAGAGTATCCTTCGTACCCTGAGGAGCTCTATAATGTTGCGGGTGGGATTAGGGATTATTATAAGAAATTGACCATGGATGTCACAATATTATGAGCAGACAACTTCTGATGAGGATCTCTTGACATACAAGCTCTTGAATGCTGACTTGGTACGAACCTGCGCGTCGAGCTTTAAATTTAGCATTTTTAGCAGATTTTAGTTGAAATATAAAAGCCGTAAATAAGAGCGGATTAAAGCCACTGATCTCCTATTTAAAAGACGGGCGCATTAACTACTATGCTACAGAGCCACGGTGTTCAGGACATCAAACTCCTATTAAACATGTTCGCAAGTGTGCTTGGTTACAAAAAACAGACACTCAGGATATGGGATACTTTCTAATGCGTCCATAATTGATTTTAGGCAATGTATTTTATAGCCAAATTGCAAATCACTAAAATTATTTGAATTTTTGGAGCAAAAAATTAAGACACTGAGTTTTAACTAAAAAAAAACCAACTGAACTTGGGCAAAACAGCTAACTAAAAGTTGAAAAAGAGTAATGAACGCAAGGAAACTAAAAAAAAGACGGACTTGTTTCGAATTCGAAGAAAAAAAATAGATGACCTTAAAGCTCTTTAAATTTGTAGAAAAATGTATGATAAAAACTTAAATTCAATGGGTAAAATTTTATTTCACTGGGAAATCTGATAACTAAATTCCACTTACGAAAAGTTCACTAAATGCGTTTAAATCACTGTTCGATAGTTGAGCTTGCCTCCCATTAGCAAAGAAAGTGAACTGAACTTGGAAAGAAATCAAAAACAAAAACTGCGAAAAGACCAAATTGAGCATGACCCAATTTTCAAATTTATTCCTGAAAAAACAAAGAAAAACCATCACGACCCATGTAAGAGTCTTCACAAAGATAACCGGTTACTAAGGATAACAATTTCTTTTTCTTCAAACTAGTCTAATTGTCTGCGGTGATTAAAGAAACTGAAAGAAAGTCTGGGGTTTGACATACTCGATAATCGTAGTAAATTAGGCATAGGCGACAACATTTTCCGTCGAAAAATGAAAATTTAAAAAAGAAAGCGCTAAAAAAACTTCAAAACCAATTTTACAGATGGTTTTTAAAAATCAACTTTACTTGAAAGACATAAAGCATGGCAAACCAGCCATACAAAACGAAACCAAAACCGCAAAGTAGAAAATGAAGTGACCGCAAAATCGAAGCTGAAGTGTCCAAAAAAACGATATATCAACACCCCCATGTCTCGAAATTTGATTGTGAAAAAAACTTTCAAACTTTTAAATTAGCATCAAAACCAAGCTTACCAAGCGGCAAAACTGCCAATTTTTGAGCAGACAACATTGGAAAAAATAACAAGAAAAAAATAAGTAAATTTAAAAATCCTCATCAAAACACGCCACGCATGATATCTTTTTTTCTAATCAAGTGAGGCATAACGAAGCCACTTAGTTAACACAAAACCTCTTAAGCCGCATGAAAAGTAATGAAAACAAGGATAGCCGGTTACTGTGCAAGCAGCACAGAATGTTACGGCATAGTCTTCAAAAAAAACACAATTTTTTTTCTTCAAATTAGTCTTTATTTCGGGGTGGTGTGATCATTGGATCTGAAACGAAAACTACAAATTAGGCGGGAGGCGGGATCGACTATCATAGTCAAATAGGCAAATCGGACTACAATTTTTTCAAATAGACTAGATAAACAAAAAAAATCATTAAAAAACCAAAAAAGATTTCAGAAATTTTTTGATTTTTTTTGCAGTATTTTTTTTTACTTTTGATTCCCAAAGTGACGTTAAAAAACCAAAAACTACACAAGCAAAAATATTCTACACAAGCAAAAATATGACCAATAACGCTACTGGGAAAAACTGACTGAGTAGAACTTCGAGTCTATAAAATTTCTTAAATGACGCACGCCAAATATGACGCATTAACAGTACCACTCATTGTGAAAAAAAAAGTTACCAACTAACACGCCTCAATTTATAGAGCAGTCTATGGAGCAGTAATAACATGGAAAAATTAAATGTAATAAAAACAAAATGAAATTTTTTTTTTGAGATTTTTTGTGAAATTCATCAACCCACACGACATATCAAGTACAAAGTGATAGATTTCGCTCCCATTAACGAATCAATTATGATAAAAAAGCTTCCTTTAACCAATTTGGAAGGATTTCTATGACGGATTATCACGCTTACGAGTTAATAGCGCGAAATATATCGCGCGTTAATTGTCCCAAATTGGCAACTTTTAAATCCCATACCTCTACGAAAAAAAATCACAGGCAAAATATTTTCCCAAATTTAAGCTCAAGACAGCAATACTTTTTGAATGATAAAAAAATCCCGTCAAAAATTGCTAGTTAAAAAGTCGACATTTTTCTGAAGAAAAAAACCATCCCGAGCACAAATATTCCGTTACTTTCGTTACGAAAGCCGGAACAATAATAATCTGTGTTAAAATCCTTAGCATTGGCTGTACTTAATAGCAAGTTATTGATCAAAATGAACACTTTCAAAATGAACACATTTTATCGCAACACTATTTGCGTCGCAACAATATTTGCGACTTAGGATGGAAAAAATGATAGATCATACTATAACACAAGCATTGCTTAGGTAAAAACGCATTGTAAACGGCCTAAAATTAAGTATAAACAAGCCTGCTTGCTCCTTTACTCGCTCAAAAATAGACGAAACATCAAAAACTTCAGCGGTTTTTCTCGACTCTGGGCAAGTTTCTATGAAAGGTGATTCGAATCACGTCTGAAACATCTTCAATTTGATATATCACTCAATCCAGTCCGATGATTATTTATGGTACCTAATTTTGCTCGGGAAAAAACTGAAACACACCCGAATACAAAGTTCCTCCCCATTTTCAATAGTCGAAATAATAAATTTTACCAAATCGGTATATGAGAAATATTTGGTAAGTGACCAAAATAAATTTCGAATAAAACGGGTATTCAACACTCAAACATGCTCAACCTAAGACCTAAGTCTGTTGGCTGGCAAAAAAACAGAACATAGAAAATCGAAGATTGGAAAAGAGTAATGAACGCAAGTAAATATAAATAAAAACACTGACTTTCTTGAAAAAATCTCAATTTTAGATTTCAAAAAAAAAATAGATGCCCTTTAAGCTCTTTGAATTTCTAGAACAATTTATGATTGGCGCTTCTTTGATAGCATGAGCCCAACTTGAGAAAACTGGATCAATAGGTAAAGTTTTTATTCCGCTGGGAAATCTTAAAAATAAACTCCACTTTCGAAAATCTTAAAAATACTCTCCACTTTCGAAACTAGAAATAGTTCAAATTTTTTCGCGCCATTTCCACGTTCGTATTTGGAGAATGATATTTACGTCACTTTCAGCAGATGGATTTCAATTGAACTCAAAAAGTGCATTATACCTAAGTGCATCAATATTTTCCTGAAAAAAAAACAGCAATACCTATATAAGAGTCTTCACTACGTTCATTACTCTTAATTCGAGAAAAAGATTCAGTGATTCTGTTAGGCAAGTCATTTACCTGGAAAAATTCGTATTCCGATTTGAAAGTGCAATAAAATAAACATTTCAGTCAGCTTACCATGTCAGAACTGGTTCTGGAAAAAGCATCCACGTATGCCTGCAACTCTTCGATAATCTGTTTCATGGTCTTTCCAGTGTCGGCTTGCGTGAGTTGAACTAATTCTGGAGAGGCCAGAGTTTCCTCCAAATCTGCCAGGAGGGTTCCGATGGATCCGAATCGACTAGCCAAACTGTCCGCACATTCTCTCAACTCCACCAGTGACTGCTCAAAGTCAACAGCACTCTGATCGAACAGCTGTTTCTTGTCCGACTGAACGAAAAAAGACGCTTTTTATACTACGTTCTGACAACATTTAAAGATCACGAGAGGACGAAGTGCATTCGTTATACATTAAAAGAAAGAAGCACAACGTCGACAACACTCACGGAAACAGGAAATCTCTCAGACAGCGTCTAGTAAAAGATTAATTATTTTTACACAGAGGCAAAGCTAGCAAATATAAATCCATACTGAAACCACTAATTAGACACGGAGGCGAAGTTGCACTTCGCATACAAAAGCAAAAATATGACCGATAACGCTACTGGGAAAAACTGAATGAGAAAAACTTTGAATCTACAAAATTTCGTAAGGGACGCACGCCAATTATGACGCATTAGCAGTACCAGTAAATTTGAAAAAAAAATTACCAACTAACATGCCTCAATTTATAGAGCAGTCTATGGAGCAGTAATAACATGAAAAAATTAAATGTAATGTAAATGATTTTTTTTTTTAATTTAGATTTTTTGTGAAAATCATCCCCCCACACGCCATATTAAGTACAATTCCACTTTCAAAACTAGAAGTCGAACACGTTTTTTTTGCGTCGCTTCCTCTTTCGTAAATTGAGAGCAAATTTTGCCTACCCTTAATGAATTTAAATTGAACTCGAAAAATGCACGTATACCTAGGGCATCAACTAAGACGTGTGAAAGCACTTCCGTATTTATTAGAGCATTTTAAGACTTGCTGAAAAAAAAATTAAAAAATCATCACGACCAAAATAAGAGTGTGAACTACGTTCATCGACTCTTAACAAGGTTCAGCCGGGATTCAATTTCGAGAGCTTAGGACCCAAAAGCACGCTTTTACCACTAAATCAAACCAGAATGGAATGGACCTGGTCATTATTGAGATGCCAGAATAAAGAAGTCCAAAATCTTCCAAAAAGATTTGTTATAAAAGTTGTTAACAGGAAAAAGTACCCGATTACAAGTCACTTGCTCTCGAAAATTAGAACAGCATTTGAAACAGCAACAAATAGTTCAAAAAATGTTTTTCAACTATATGCCTTCTAGACATATACTCACCTGTGGCGACACTGAGTACGACTTGGCGTTATCAATCTCGGCTCTCGCTGCTTCATAAACAGTCAAGAGATGCTGCTCGAAGTTCATCCTGTCACTCTCTCCACTGATACAGGCGAGGAATTGTTTGCTATGGTGCAACAGTTGCACCATGTAGTTCTGCACCATCGACTGGGAAATGTGACCTATGCGCTCCACTTGTCTGTCCAGAATTGCGGACCTCATCTCACGTGAGAGTGAGTTCAATTGGTCAATCACTTCCAGTAGATGGGCCGAAACCGTCTCAATACTGCAACAATCTTTGATTTTATTTATTTGCCAATTTGATTTGAAACCAGAGTAATAGCAACCTCGTGCTAAGAATTTTGACGTTTCATGAATTTTAATATAACTAAATTTAGGAAAAAAGCACAACATTAACTGAGATAGATTGATAGTTCTCAGCGGAAAAGTCCTTTTCATACATACTACAGTTTATTAAACTCTACTTGGAACTTTACTTGTCGAATTGGTAGTCCTGAGCTGACTTTGCTCCACCCTCGCTACCTCTTTTCTCTCGCATTTCGTTGATGAAATTGGCAAACATCTGCTCCAGCAGACTCAGGGTGGTCTCACAGTGCTTCTGCCAGGGTGCATTGGCCCTCACTTCAGCCAGCAGGGTCTCAACTGCCTGAGTTACCTCACTAGCTCCATCTGCAATCTGGGGCCAGTTCTCAGCAGAGCCACTATAATAGTGGAACAAACTTGGTTTAAGATCAACACAAAAAATAATTCCAACAAAATAACACAGAGGCGAAGCTGCGCCTCACAAACACTAGCGAGAACACGACAAAAACTCTTGAGTATCGAGAAAAAGTGTATAAAGAAGACACGATGATGATGATGAAAAAGCGGCTCTATCAAAGGCAATAAGAAAAATAAAAGTAAGTCTCGAATTAAAAAAAAGGTTACATCTCGGATTCGATCTGCGACCTACTGAATATGAGTCTCACGCACTAACTATTCAAACACGAACGCTAAAAAATCACAAACTATAGCCACAAAAAAAGCAGAGAACAGAGGCTATGACATTAACAATGCTACAGATCGTGATTTTAGCATAAGTGAAATAAATGAACACTTCTAAGAACACTTTTATTTGCGAGTTAGGTTAGAAAAAAGGTTCGTACTAATACACTAACGCTCGCAAGCTGGATGGTGTAATCAAATACTTCGATGGTTACTAATGCTCTAAGACTTCGCTCAGACATTCAAAAGAGTGTTCAGAAGGACTCTTCAATTTAAAAAATGACTCAAGACATCTTACCTTTCACAGAGTCCTTTGGCCGAATTGACCAGATGGAGTGAGGCCACTTTCACATACTCTCCTGCTCGAATGATCGGCTGCTGGAGCATCTTGCCCTCTTCGCTCAATATTGCAGGTTCACCTGCTAATTCCTTCGACGCTGACAGCCTGATCAAGTCAGCGAAAGACGCTTCAAGTTGGGAGTAAACTTCCGGTCTTGGAGCTTCTCCGGACTTCAGACCATCTAACGCACTTTTAGTGGCCATTGCAGTTTTCTGTCCAAAATTCTTGAACTTATCGCTGATCGGAGGGTTCGCACTACAGGCAGTCGATGACACTTTGCAAAAACCTATCAAATCTCGAGTTGATTGGGCCAATGCGGAAGCGGCTTGTGTTAGTTCTTGACGGTTAAGGTCAGGTGAGAAAACTCTTTTCCATGCGGCCAAGTACTCATCTCGTAAAGCTTCCAGATGCTCTTGATCAACTAACGCCTTTTTCCCCGGTCTGCTTCGTTCATCTGAGGCACCTACTAGGTATGCAATTTGGGCGGCGCCTTCCATCAGTTGACAGATAGATTGACAAGTGCCATCTACGCTTTCGCCAAATTGGTCTAAGTCGCCTCCCTTTGCATCGAAAGTCAGCTGTGACATGTTGGTTCCCAATGCACGCGACTGCTCCATCACATTCTCGAAGTTTTCGAAGTAACTCCTGTTGTTTATTGGTCGGTTCGGATTTTGTAACATCTTGGACACCAACTTGAACAAAATTTGACTTGCGATAAGTAAGATATCAAAACTACACTACGATGCATTCGTAAACCATCAGAAAAATATCGCAAATACGATATTAAAAACATAGCCAAGCGAAGATTGGAAAAGAGTAATGAACGCAAGTAAACATTAAAAAACACACTGACTTTCTTTAAAAAATCTCAATTTTAGATTTCAAAAAAAAATAGATGCCCTTTAAGCTCTTTGAATTTCTAGAACAATTTATGATCGGCGCTTCTTTGATAACATGAACCCAACTTGAGTAAACTGAATCAATATGTAATCAGGGCTTTTCAAAAATTAATTGAGATCAAAACAATTAAATTGCAGTTAATTGGATGTTCAGCAATTAATTATCAAATAACTGAAAAAAACAAAAGTTAAACTGCAATTAATTGCAATTATCAATGAAAAATTCAGATGTCGCTATCGAGACTGTCCACGGTTGACTCGTTCCAGAATCTGTGATTGACTTTGAGGAAAAGTTGCATTTCGAGATTTATTGGTAGTAGACTTTTGCGAAGATCGTTGTAGGCGTATCCAGCTACGCTAAAAAAACGTTCTATGAGATCTGAAGTTGGAAGAAGAAATGTCGGATCCATGTATTCACTTCGTGAATTTTTCTTCTCTAACTTGCGAATTTTCAGAAGACCCGACGCAAAGTCGTCTTCGTCGACATTCACCGCATGTGTCACTTCGACAACTGGCAGTTTCAGAGACTCAACAGCGGCCTTTTCTTCGATTGTTAAATCAGCTTCTTTGTGTTTCAACAATTTAATAATTGCTTTCTGGAAAACTGGCACATGAACTAAATCGCCATCTTCAGACAAGTATTTCGCAAATTCTTCTTCTTTGTACTCATCCAAAATTCCATCAAAAAGAATGCGTGCAGATGTAATTCGTTGCTCAACAACCAACGCTTAACAAACGAACTTGCTTCTGTTCAACAACAATTAATTGCAATTAATTGCAGTTAACTGGGCATGAGAAAATTTTAATTGAAATAATTGCATGCCCAACAATTAGTTAAAAATTCAATTAATTGCAATTAATTTAAAATTCAATTAATTTTTGAAAAGCCCTGTATGTAATGTTTTTATTCCGCTGAAAATCTTAAAATTAAAGTCCACTTTCGAAACTAGAAATCGCTTTTTCGCGCCATTTCCACGTGCGTATTTGGAGAGTGCTATTTACGTCACTTTCAGCAGATGAATTTCTATTGAACTCAAAAAGTGTACATATACCTAAGTGCATTAATAAATGCATCAATATGTATGAATGCACATCTGTAGTTATTAGAGACTTTTCCTGAAAAAGAAGACAAACAAAAAATCAGCAAGACCTATATAAGGGCCTTCACTACGTGCATTACTTTTAATCAAAAACATTCTGTCAGATGATAGAAGCATTTTGGTATTTGAGTACAATTGTTCGGCATGACTTATATTGACACACCTCAATGTTCCTAATTGCACTGTCGCAGTGCTTCAGTCCAGGCGAGCTCTGCAACACCAGTTCCATCATCGCATTGATTCCAGTCACAACTGCCCTAGCCGATGCACTCAACTTAGGGTGCAACTGACCACTAGTATCCGCCGCATTTGAGGCTCCTGATGCTGCGAACACTTGTCTGGAAGTATCCATAAGTATAGAACTGCTGTAGACCAGTTTGTCCAGAACCTGCAGCATCTTCTGAGGTTCCACTGCGTTTCTATCCTTGGACGAGAGATAGAAGTCCAGAGAAATGAGAACAAACTGGTGCAGGTTCTTGGCGGTCTGAAGTGCACTACTTGGAAGGGCTTCTGGGTTCTTTGTGCAAGAGTGAACTAACAGATTGATCTCATCACTGAAGGCACCCGAGACTGAGTGCAAGTTGCCTTGGAGCTCGTTAATTGAGCTGAAGGAAGTGTTGAAGGGTCCTTCATACGAGGGACTCTTCTGGATGTTATGATTACATTCGTTGACAATATCTGAGCAGATCTGGAACTCCTTCTGACCAGGTAGTGTGCTGACGAACATTTGGATTGCTCCGTCAAGATCTGCAACTTTCTGAAAATCGTAAACATCATCATTCATTAAAAATAAAAACAAATTTATAGTTGAAGCTTTATAATAGCATTTTAAGAAACGGATCAAATTTTGTAGCATATTCCTTATTCTTTAAAGAGTTTTATACATCTTTAAACAGTTTTTAAAACTATCTGAAGAGAAAATGTTGCAAGATTCAGTTACCTTCTGGACATTGTTGAGGTATCCTTCGCCCCTCTCCATTACATGCTGAATTTCTTGCAGAGTCAGTTTTCCTTCGTAGATCAAATTCTGTGCAGACTGAATCAACGCAAGCTGCTCATCACGTGAGTCAAGCAAAGACGCCACACGTCGGCAGTCAGTTGCAAACTGCTCAAATTTCTGAGAAATGGCGCGTGCTGATTGGTTACATCCTCGTGCATTCCCATTGGCCAAATTTTTCAGAAGTTCTGCGAAGCTCTCGTTGATATCAACACATGCCTGGTTTGCCTCCAAAGCTAGCTTCTGTTTATCCGCCATCTAAACAGCAAAGTACAACGATTGATCAATTACAAGCAGAAGAACACTAGTTTAACTAATTCATCTTGAAAGTCACTTACCGTTATTAATTATCGGAATACATTACGGTTATAAAAATAGGTTAGAAATGACAAAAAGAAACATGCCGTAAGACAACAATATTTAATGCAGCAATAGATTTATTGTTTTTTAAGGCAGAGAACTAGCCTCCAAGAAGCGCGTCACAAAACTAACACTGACTTAGGTAAGAATAACACGCAACACCACTAGGAATTGTTGCCCCAGGAAATATTTACATTTCCAATCAAAACTGATTCTCAAAAAATACTACAATACTACTATCTCATCAGTAAAAAAAGTAAGTCGATGCTTAGAACAAACAAATTTTTAGGTTGCAATAACATATAACTAACTGCATTAAGAGCTACCAATGAACTATTCATAAAAATCTTTTCATAAATTCTAAGCAACTTCATAAAATCTATTCATAAACTAATGAAATCTAAGCTAAAAGAAGGAAAACAATTACTTAAAAGCGAAATTAATTTACTGATTTCAAGTCCAACGCTGAGTGCATTTTTCAACCGGCTATCATAAAATAAAAAGGTCAGAAGATTTTAAGCCATTCTGACCCGGCAATCATAAAACAGCAAGGACATCACTGCGAGGCATAAGTTAGTCTGGATAGAATATCGGACCCAATTAATCGCGATGAGAAAAAAATGAAACAACAACTTATACTGAATGAAGGAATAAACACATGGCAAAAATTTGATTAAATCAATCGAGAGTAACCATATACATGTATGGCTATTTGTGATGGAGACCTTTCGTCAAATTGCGAGGTGGGGTGGGAATAAATGTATTGAATCAAAGTAACTCTAGAGAGACATGATATACGTTGTAATATTTCGTCAAAACTATTACGGCAGAGCGAAGCCAGATCATACTAATTTGATGCATATCTTCACCAGCAGACTAATTTGAAACTATTTTTTAGCTACACTTCAAAATACACAAAGGAAATTAATTGCAGACTTTTCGGTGGAACGGTAGAAAAAAACAGGCGTAGTGTTCAATTTGCGGCAAGAAACACTTTTCAAGAGGGCGGGAAATCGCAAATAACTATAATGAATAGCTCCAGTCTCAAAGAGAAGACACGGTAGGAACGGAAGATAGGCATTAGCAATGTGGGAAACACCTACATGGATCGACAAAAGGAGATAATGAGGAAAGGGAAATGGATCCGGCTATCTATTGATTATTCACTATTGGCAAAATTAGGCTGATGTACAAGAAGGAAGCACCGAATGTTCCAAGCAGAGTAATAATCATTTCCAGGAAAAAAAATCAAGTGCAAAAGAAAAACGCGAAACTGACGCAATTGCTTTTTCAAGTTCACGGAATCGCGTAAAAACCACCATGGACAACTATTCTTCCCGCGTCTTGTAGCGATCGAAACAAAAAATCATCAGTGGTATAATGGAAAGCAGCTATTTGCATAAGTCTTCGTACACTGAAATTTGATAGAAATGTTAAATTAGGCGGTTTTCTATTTGAAATCAGAAACCCAAAAAACTTCATAGAAAACTTCATTTACTTGCAGTAAATCCTATTTTGCTGCAATTTCTTGTGAGCTCATTCTATTTGATGGAATGCGCAAAAACAAGTGCGTTTTGACTGATTCTCCCAATTTTTGACGAAAGTATTAAAAATTAGTGTAATCGCAAACACTAACATCCGTCCCTGGCAACCCTAGGCATAATTGGTTGCTTGTTTTCAAAGAATGAAATTTTTTTGTAAATTTTGTACTTTTTTAACTCCGAAGAAGCATTTCAAGCATTTCTTATTTATGGCATCTTTTGATTAAATACACCTAAAGAACACTGGATAAGTTTTTATTCAGTTGGGATTTCTAAAAACAAACTCTATTTTCGAAACTAAAAATTGTTCAGGTTTTCATGCGCCACTTGCTCTTTCGCCACTTGACTATTTGTCAGCAAGTTAGTTTGAAAAGAGTTAAAAACTAGCATATAGACATATGGGAATTCATAAACGCATTAATATCTATGAATGCATTTCCGTACTCATCAGAGCTTTTTGAAACTTGACCGTGAAAAAAAAAATCAACACGACTACGTAAGTGTCTTCATAAACAAACAAGAACAGAAACACAACCAACAGAGAGCTGGCAAGGTTTCAAATAATTAAAGAAGAAAAACTACTTAATTTTCAAACAAAAAATGTATGGCCACAAAATTTAAACAAGACTGCTCGTATCAGGGCAAAGTCCTGAATGTTCCGACTGCCTTTTAAGGTTTATAGAGCAGTAATAACATTTAAAAATTCAATGAAATAAAACAAAATGAAAAAAAATTTCTAAAATTTGAAATTTTTCATAAAAATCATCCCCCACACGCCATATAAAGTACAAAAGGATAGATTTCGCTCATTGTAACAAACCAATTATGGCAAATAGGCTTCTTTTAACCAATTTGGAACGATTTCTAAGATGGACTAACTCTCCGCTTACGCGTTAATAACGCGAAATATATTGCGCGTTAATTGTCCCAAATTGGCCAAAATGGCAATCTTTAAACCCCCGTAACTTTACGAAAAACGATCACAGGTGAAATATCTTTTCAAATTCGAGCTCAGGACAACAATACCTTTCGAATGATATAAAAAAATTCCGTCAAAAATGGCTAGATAAAAAGTCGAAATTTGTCTGAAGAAAAAAAAACCCACCCCGAGCACAAATATTCCGTTACTTTCGTATCGAAAGTCGGAACAAAAACCTAGGATTGAAATTCAAAAAAACTACCCCTTTAGAGAAAAAACGATATATAGATATTTTTTATTTGCGCTTCTCAACACAGAGCTGCAACTTTGCAAGCATAAGCAAATACGACAATAAGTTGCTCTAAAAGGGTCACAAAGTGAAAAAAAAAGAAAATGAAGGTTAACTGATAGATCACCTCTGGGCCAGAATCAAACCTTCGACCAAGAGATTAAGAATCACATGCCCTGTTATCTGGGTCATGGAGGCTTGTCATTCTTACAACAATAGCCAAAAAAGAAATCATGATATTGCTGCAAAATAAATTGCCACTCAGTAAAGCAGCATTTTCAATTCCGACTTTGGCTGAGAACAAGAGAATGAATATGAAACAACGCTTTAATATAGTTTTGTCAGCTCTTGATGTGTTATTTGCGATTAACTAAATATAGCCAAAAACCCAATTTTGAAATAAAATTTCGGACATTAACTTCGTAAAATAAATTGCACCATAATAATTCAGGTTAACATCTAAGCAACTTTTGTTCTGATAACTTTTTTTGTCAAACTTCAATTTGAGAAAAACGCGTTTAAAGTTTCCCAACTTTAATCGTTTTTCCCGGTTAATTTAAATCAAAGCATACACAGAAAAAATCGAACCAATTATGTTGTTTTGAAGCTGATTAAAATTCAAAGAAATTTATGATTGACAAATAAGATGAAAGTAACTTAATTTGACACAATTTGATCAATAGGTATATTTTATTCCACCTTTAACGTCAAAATTAATGATGTTTTTTCAAAAAGGAAGTTCGTCGTTGGTTCGAAATTCATGTCAAACATTTAATCTTGGCTAGAAAATTAGAATTGAAAATCTTTGCGTTTTTTTTTTTATAAATGTCAGCTCAATAAATGCCAACAAATTACAAATATAAGCAAATACAGGGTTCAGGGAAAACACATACGCTTATGTCACGATGAAAAATCTTAAGTGCCTTCTCAATAAACAGGTAGTCGGAAAAAAGTCGAATCTTTAAAATCCAAAATGGTAGACAAAATTTACTAACGTTAGGCCTCTCTGTTCAGAAGCAAAGCAACCATAACTTCGTCATAGATGAGTGAATTAACGGAAATGATACCCGGATAGCACATCCTTTTCTGTTGCAAAGCTCAAAATGCGTAAGAAATTCTTCGAGTAAAAGCTGTAACTCTATCTTGTGATAAACAAGAGGTCAATAGTAGAGATTTTAACTCAAAAATCTAACTCTCATAACTTGATACTAAACCTTTAAATTAAAATTGGTGGAAAACTACCAACTTTCGTACACTATATCGGCCCACCCAAAACTTTCAAACTTCAAAAAAATCACTACGGTAAAATTTTTATAAAACAGTTCATAAAACTATGTCAACTAGAAACCATAGCCAACAGACAGTTGGAAAAGAGTCAATGAACGTAAGTAAACACAAGAAATACTGACTTGTTTTTTTTGAAAAACTCTCAAATTTCGAAATTCGAAAAAATAGATGCCATTAAAGCTCTTTAAACTTTTAGATCAATTTATGACTGATATACTTTTTAATAAACTCAACCCGATTTGAGAAAATTGGATCAGTGAGTAAAAATTTTTATTTCGCTGGGAAATGTGAAAATGAAATCCACTTTCGAAACTAGAATTCGATCATACTCTACACTTTTATTGTTCGATAGAGGAAATTGCCTTCCTTTTAACAGAGGAAAAGAACTGAACTAAAAAGCAATCAAGTCAATCCGCGAAAAAATATATTTGAAACTTTTCCGGAAATTTTTTAAAAAAACAATAGGGACCTATATATGAGTCTGAACTATGTTCATTGACTCTTAAGAACATCCTAACTTTTATTCAAGTTTAAATTTTTTAAATCCGCTAGTAATTCGGAAAACGAAAGTACATTTTTTAGTTTCACACTTTTTGCGATATTTCCACCTTTGTTAGGGGACATTGTAATATACCTTCTTTCTAACACAGAGGCGAAGCAGAGCTTCGCGCCACTTGCGATACATAAATGATTAGCTATGATTACCAGCAAATGAAAAAAATAATATTTTTTTTTTGTCAAAAAAATATAAAAAAGACAAAAACTTCCTGGAAAAAATTACCTGCATTAAAAACAGTTAAAAAAAGGGTTTTAAAGGCTGAAAGAAACCGAACTTTTTTTCAGGACCTAAGCCGACAAAAATTAGCAGACACGGGAGTCAAAATTTTCATTTTCCATAAAAAAAACACGTATCGACTGGAATCGAACTTCTAGGATTTGTCGTCTCAAGCATGGATGGTACCACTGCATCATATGCACAGAACACTCCTTAAATGTATTAAGAAAACAACTTCCAAGAACTTTTAATGAGCAGCATGGAAAATAAAAATAGGAAAAAAAATAAGCAAAACTCCTTGGAAATCAATTAGTTAGTCAAAACCGGAACACTCTGAAATGTTTTTTTTTAATTGAGCAAAAAAGGTTAAATTTTAGGAAGATTTGATACTGCGGCAACTAAGCTGACAAAAAAGCAGACAAACAGAAGCCCGACAGAGAATTTTGACGCGCGGACAATTTTCCACGAGAAAAAGAAACAGGGCCTGGCCGGATTCGCAACATTCACACCTGTCTTTATAGATAGGTGCGTTAGGTCTTCGCCGCATGTGCGAATTAACGTCTGACTTTTGATTTCACAAGATCCAAAGGTAAAATTAACCACAGGTTAACCCGAAAAAAAATATTATATTCCGGTTTGATTAAGTTTGCTAACTAATCGCAAGCCAAATAAATGAATTTGAATTGAACTTTAAAATAAATCAATTGTCAAGCAGCGAGAAAGAAATTTGATTGTGAACAACTTAAAAGAATTCTTCGGACAAAAAACTCAGCCTATATAACTGATAAATCACTTCGTTCATCAACACTTACAATGAGATAAAACCAAAAAGTCAAATTGTACCATCAATCCATCCATGATGAATCAGTTTGTTAGGATATCTAATCAATTATTATCACTCCCTTGGGTAACCTTCATGCGGATTCAAATTTAACATAAACCTAATGAAATGCGAACGATAATGGTGAACATAAACATAAGCTGCGAAAAATAGCTATTAATTTTAATAAATCGAACGCGACATTTGACTGGTTAAATGAAAGTTTACTAATGAGGGTGGATCTATTTAGTTACCAACACCCACACGGACACAGTGGGCAGTTTGGCTGGGTAATTTGGAGTTTGAGATGGATAATAAATTGAACAGAATTTTCAGATCTCTATGACCAACCTGAGTCCCTTCAGACGGCCTCAGTCCGTTCTCAGTCGCCAGTTGTGCAGTGTCCTTGAGCAACTTGACACAATCATCAGCCACAATAATTGCATTGTCCAGCTCGTAATTTCCGCACAAATCTGCAGCTAAGAGCAAAATTTCCTGCAGTGCTTGCAAAGATGTTGAGAAGAGGCTAGCACATTGACCTAAATGTTGTGACATGGTAGATCCGGCCTGGCCTTCTGCGTCCCCGGCACCCATTGATGGCTGCATGTAAGCTAGCGCCAATTGACACGCCTTCACAAGCTAAAAAAGGACTACGGCTGCTTAAATTAACTCAACGAATTTACAACGGCAATTTTATAGGCCATCCATTTTGAGCATATAAAATTTCAACCGAAGCAAACTCAAACGCTAGCGAAAAAATATCAAACACCATTGCATTTACAGCAATTAACTGACTAGGGATATCACGAGAAACAGAAATCCATTCTCAGCTTTTTAACGCTTCAAAAAAATCTTCGAAAAACTCAGAAAATAAAAGCTCTTCCACACTGGCTCTCCCCACTCCCTAACTTCCTTTTGTGTTTTAACTTTTTTTGGACTCGAACCTGTGATGAAATTTGCGATAGAAAGTCAACTGTCCAATAAAACTCTATAAAAGCAATGGTAACGGACTCCCAATACTTCATGCCTATATCTGGCGGGGCGAAATGACAGGAAAACCGTAAAATTACTGGAAAAGTTTCTCTTCTCAACAAAGCAAAGATTACTCAGTAAAGCAAACAGCAAATTCAAAAACTGATATTGATTTATAAATTGATAGAGAGGCTAAGCTGAGCAATACAAAAATTAGGCGAACCGAACAAAAAGCAGGCGAACCGAATTAAAATATAGACGCATTCAAGCTTCGCATTACTCGCGATACAACAAATATAGCATGACTAACTATCTGACAGAAATGAAGATGAAAACCGGTGAAAAAGCCAAAAAACAATTCGAAAAATGTCAAAAAACGCAAGAAAAACAGATTTGTTTTTGAGAAAACCTCAATTTCCGAAATTCCGAGAAAAAATAGATACCCTAACAGCACTTCGAAATTAAAACCACTAATAATGTCTTTTTTGATGACATTAAATCAATTTGAAAGAATTGGATCAAAAGGTAGAACTTTTGTATTCCCCTGTGAAACTTGAAAATTATAATCAAAACTTGAAAATGATCACGTTTTTCATGACTATTACAATTTTGATGTTTCGAAATAGAGTTCGCGTTCCTTTTAAAAAGGGAAAAGAACTGAACTCGAAACGTATACCCATCAGATAGTTGCAAAAGAGCCAATGAACTCAAGTAAAAAGAAAAAACTTACTCCTGTTCTGAGAAAACTTCAATTTTCAGACTTCAAAGTAAATAACATCAGGCCTTAAAGCTCTTTGAAACTCAATAACAACTTATGGATGACACTTTTTGATAAAGTTACTTTTTGATAAACTGAATCGATAGTAACTTTTTTCCGGTGGGAAATCTGAATATTAAAATCCAAATCTGAAATTGGAACTTGATCACGTTTTTCTTTTCGACAGTGGAGTTTGCCTCCCTGTTACACAGAGGTGAAGCTGCGCTTCACTAACACTAGCAAGAATAGGACAAAAAAGCAGCTCTATGAAGTGATACCTCTCGGATTCAATCTGCAACCTAGTGATTACGAGTCTCACGCACCAGCTACTCAGCCACAGACACTAAGCAACTTACAAACAGTAGCCATGAATAACGCAGAGAACAGATGGTATGAAGTTTCCAATGCTACAGATCGTGATTATAAACAAGTGAACACGGTTCGTATAAACAAGGTTCGTATTAATAAATATACTACGCTCGCAAGCGCAAATAGAGGAAATAAACTGAACTTGAAAAGAAATCAAGTCAAACGGCGAACAATCAAATTTGAGTGTAGGCAAATCTGAAAAAAAAATTTCTGAAAAAAAAAACCAACACGAACTATATAAAAACGACCCTAATTGACACAAAAAAAACAGCCAAGAAAAAAGCACAGAAAACCAATAACTACATGCCAATTACATACACAAACAGATAACTAAGTACATGAACAAAAACTTTGTGCCAGAAAAGGATCAGACTTCAAGGGTTACTACAAAGTGATAATAATAAACTCGACAGTAACAAATATTTCCTAAACGACTTACGCTAAAAAGCAAAATATATTGCTTTTAGGAATTCGAAGTTGCTTACGGTAAAAAAACAGAGGCCAAGCTGCGCATCAAAAACACTTGCGAGAACACGACTAAAAAGCAGCTCTATCAAGTGAAAAAAGAAAGTAAAAATAAGCCTTGAATTAGCAAAAATTCGGCTACGTGTAGGATTCGAATCTGCGACCTACTGCAATCAAGAGATTTTGAGTCTCACACACTCAGCCACGCAAGCTTAACAACCAACAAACAGTAGTCACGACTAAAGCAACTACGTATGCTAACAAATTACCAATGCCATTCACGAAAGTGGCAACAAATACAAATCGAAACAATTTTGCAAGAAATAATTTGAAATATAACAAACTGAAGGCATCCAAACTAACTTTGCATAAAACAAATCGCAAAGCATTTAGTCACAATATGTATAAATTATACAACTCAAACAAATTGCGAGACATTAAATTAGAAAATTTCTGAAATCGAGTTTTCATTATTATTATGTTTTTTGAAACAAATCTTTTTTTGTTCCGGTTCATTTGATGAATTAAAAATGCATCAACTGTGGTAACTAATTACTTTCGAATGTCAAAGCGCATGCTATCAAAAAGCTGTAAAGGTCCCCCACCAATTTTGGGGTGACGCACCAATATTTGCGACTTAGGTTGGAGAAAAAGAAGGTTCTTACTAATACACTCGCTTCGCAAGTGTAATGAGAGTTGGGGTCGAAAAAAATTGGTTTCGTAACATAACACTACGTTCCTCGGTAGCTCGGTTCAAAAAAAAAGAATGCTTAAAATATGTCAGTTGTTTCAGACAAGAAAATTATTTAATCATTCGGTTAGAAAAGTTGTTCAAGTAGGAAAAGCTAGGTTCCGATTTGATAACGCTTGCAAATCGCATCTGTTAGAATATGACTTAAAATAAATTCAAAAATCAAACAAACATTCAGTCTACTCACTGGGTGGATGGTGAGACACTTGCTCAGCTACAAATGTAGCGTCTCCTGCACAAGCCCAAGGCACCGGTCCTGACTCAACCAGCTGTTTTTGACACTCGGCTCCATTTTGAAGCGAATCTCTTTGAATGCTCTCATATACTCTCCATCAATTAATTCACGTGCAAGGCAAACATCAAATCTCGGCTCTTTTCAAGTTTCCTATCCCGCTCGTAACATTATTAAAGAAACCACTTAAAAGAAACTTCCGATACCAGTTGCTCAAGTTACAACAGACATAATTTCGAATTCTTAACAACAGGACAAAGATCTACTTGAAGGATACAGAGAACTGCATCAAGAAACCGCACTTGAAATCAAAACTTTAGCTATAATACGAAACAACAATAGCAACCAACTTAAGTGATATCTTAAAGAAAAAGAAACCGTCAATAAACAACAAGAAGCACGAAGGAAACGAGAACAGAAATAAATTGTGAGTTTAAATTTCAATTCGTGACGGGGCTGGGCTTAATTGTGCAGGCTTGGATCAAATTTTAAATAAATTTTCTCTATCCTATTTTGTCCATCTACTCAGAGTGAAACCTGTTAAAGATATGAAAGCTCAATCAGGAGCTGGAAAAGAAGTAAAACATGAAATACATCATAATATCAATAAAAGCTTCCGTATACAGGGGATCAGAGAAGATCCTGAGAGATCAAAAGGCGAAAAATTTGTCCCCACAACCGAAAAAGTACATGAGGTACTAAACAAATTAGGAGTTAAACCACAAATTGAAGAAATAAAAAGGCTAGGGAAATTCAGCAAAGAGCGCATCAAGTCAAGAACTTTATTGATAACTCTGTCAACGGAACATGAAGCATGGTTGGTGCTGGCAAAGAGCTTCGAAAAAAGAGATGAGCTACGAGATGAGGAAATTCACCTTCTGCCAGAATTAACGAAAGAAGATGAGAGGAAGGAAAACCTATGCCTAAAAAGACGGAGAACTTCTAGACGAAGGAGTTCCAAAAGAGAATTTCGAGCTGTTCAATGATGGGAAAAAAGAGATAATAGAAGCCGAACAAGCAGATGATGCTTGACTAGGCTTTCTCAACATCCTGCAAACGAATGTAAGAAGTCTCATAAATCTCGAACGACGAATGAAGTTTGCAAATGCTATAGCAACATCAAACTATGACATAATATGTCTCTGCGAGACTTGGTTAAATGAAAACATTGCATCATCTGAATTAATGCTAAATGAAAACAGTATTTATAGATCAGAACGACAAACAGCCAAAGATCAAAATTTGCACGGTGGAGAACTAATGACAGTGAAACAAACATTTTCATCTAAACTATTGCCAAATAAGCATCCTGAATGTTGTTTAACTTGCAGCATCCAAATAAACGATAAGCGAAATATTGTCTGCTGTTTTTACAATCCACCTTCGAGAAGCAAATATCGCTATTGAATAGGCGATTTCGCATAAATTTTAAATGAAATCGAGAAATCAAATCAATCAACTGCAACACTTATTTGCGGAGATGTAAATTTTCCAAATGCAAACTGAATTGACTATAGTAGCACCGAAAATGAAGAAACCTCAATAACTGAACTAATCGAGCAACATCAGTTCGAGCAGGCAATAGATTTTTCAACTTGTGGCAAAAACACCCTAGACATTACATTATTCAAAAAATGTCACATTCATGCGACTCCTGACGAAAATTTCTCAAAAATTTACAATTGCTCCCACCACAAAGCAATCAGCATTCTACTTGAATGTCCTCGCCATGAGGTAAAAGTCGCAATTGAAAACTTTCGAAGCTTCGGTAGCGTGGACTATAACTAAATCAAGAAATCAATACTAAGTGAGCCTTTCTCACCAGTATGTCACACAAACATCAATAGAATGTGCGAAGAATTTTACGACTATTTAGAAAATTTGGTAACCCAACATGTGCCCAGAAGAACGCGACGTCGCCAATCACTTCCGCCATGGATTACGCCAAGTACCTCAAACATCATGAACAAACTGCGGATACAAACTAGAATATACAACTACAAGCTACCGCAGAAATCTCATTCCATCTCTAGATGAAATGGTGAAAGAAGCAGTAGAGGAAGATAGATTAAATTATCAGGAAGATGTGATGTCCACTCGTAACACACATTTAATTTTCAAACACTTTTAGAGTCTGAAAACATCAGAAACTCTCGCAAAGACTATGATCCAGGACGACATAGCTGTTTCCAAAGCCAAAGAAAAAGCGAACTTTTTGAACGAATATTTTCACTCTCTCTTTTCGCCCAAATCAAGCTTCAACCTCAGTGACATGAAATGCAAAAACACGATATTGAGTAACTTCAGTATCTCAAAAACATATTTAAACCAAATTATAACAGAGCTTGACATAACAAAATCGCGGGGCCCAGATGGACTCCCACTGATTTTCTTCCAGCGAACGGCCAGAGAAATGACCACAATTTTGCATTGCGTTTTTAAAAACATCAAGAGGGTAAGGAAAATACCAAATAAATGGAAAGTTGCGGCTGTGTCAGCTAATTACAAGAAAGGTGACAAACGACTAAAGGAAAACTACCGGCCGGTGTCACTCCTAAATAACATGAGTAAACTCCTGGAAAAATGCATGTATCCAGCGCTGTACGACCATTTCATCAAACTTCTCACAAAAAGTCAGCACGGTTTTGTTAAAAACCTTTCAGTTGTTACAAACATGTTATCTTTCTTGAAAGAAACCTACGAAGCAATTGACAAGAACGTTGATAACCATGTGATCGCATTCTATACTGACTCTCTAAGGCATTCGACAAAGTCCCGCACTACGAACTACTACACAAAACGAGCAACATTGGAGTTGGAGGCTGTTTCCTAGAAATAATCACAGACTATCTCAGCAACAGGAAACAATTTGTTCGTGCTGACAATTTCTCATCAGAAACTTTAGAAATTACAAGTGGCGTACCACAAGGATCGTTGATTGGTCCATTATTCTTCTGCATCTTCATAAATGATCTTCCTGAAGAATTGAAGTCTAGTGACCCATATATCTTTGCAGAGGAGCTAAAATTACTAGCAGTGAATGTAGACACACGGGACATCCAGCAGGACCCAAAAAGCGTTGAAAACTGGGTAGAGAAAAACAAAATGAGTCTGGCACTGGACAAATGTTTTAAAGTCGAATTTAGAGGAAATCAACACGAATTCATTCTTTGTGAAACAGCAGTGGAAAGCCCGAATGTGATAAAGGATCTAGGAATACATGTGTCCAAACATTTAACATGGACAACCCATATTGACTCAAGAATTTCGAAAGCGAATAAAACGTTCTATTGCATCCGCAGAAACTTAGAATTCAAAGTCAAAATGCGCATAAAACTTGGTCTGTACAAATCCTTAAAACTTCCTGTTCTAACGTATGGTCTAATTATTTGCAATATCTCAAGAAACGATTTAGGGAGATTAGAAAAGTTCCAAAAGAAAGTCTTAAAATGAATCACGGGAAACGATTCTGACTATACAGAGCACCTGAGATTGTTAAACATCCTACCTCTGGCGTTGTTTCTCCAGCTGAACGATTTTTTATGATGGCGAAATTCATGCATGAAGAAAACGATTACATTAAGCGCACGGCAGAAATTGAAAATCCAGGAAGAACGAAAGAAATTTTCAACCTAAACAAGACCAGAACTGAAAAAGCTAGAGGAGATTATACATTCAGGACGTGCCGTCTAATAAACCGACTAAATCAGAAAATTGAATTTCGAGAAATGCGAGGCTTAAAGCGAAGATTGATACAAATGTGGAAGTTTTTCGACGATCAATTCTCAGAACAAAACAAGTGCACATGGGTCCTCTTCTGTGACTGCAACATGTGCCGAAATAACTGGACAAAATTTTGAGAAATTTGGGGATATCATCCGATCAGTATCCTACTGAAAATTCACAAAAACAACAACAACAATTACAAAATAAAATTGTTGAAAAACTGTTCAGACGCAATTTGCACATTAAATTGTTGTAGCAATCTGTTCACTTGCTCATGCTGGCACGTTTCATTAAAGTTTAAAGCATCAAAATAGACTTCTAAAAATGAGAGGCTTAAAGCGAAGATTGATACAAATGTGGAAGTTTTTAAACAAGGGTGTTAATTGCAGGTCCAACCAAATCACCAAAATCACGAAAATGCAAAGCAATCTCCTCAAATAACTTTGAAGTACGAACAATTGAGAGAAATGCTCCAACTATGATTACGGAAAACGAATTGATCAATCAAAATTTTCAAAAAAAAAAAATCATTTTTTGATCGGAAAAAAAAAGATTGCTCAAAAAATTCCATTACAAATACCATTAGAATTTTACAAAGAGTATTCAGAATATTTGAAAAAAAAAAAGCTACCAAACGAGGGAAGTAAGCTGGCAAAAACAAGGACAAAATGGCTTCTACTAACTAAGTTAACTTAAACAAAACTAAAAAATATGCACAGAAAAAAAATCAGACGAGATGCCTAATCAGACAGAAAGAAAACATACACCCAATAAGCCAAAAAAAACCTGAATTTTTGGGAAAAAACCAAATAGGAATTAGCCAGTCAGGTCTACGTCCCAACCTCCCTACCTTGGCATGACTTTTGCGTATTTTCAGTCTTAATATGCGCATGCGCACACTCCCGCAATTTTAAATGGATGGCAGGGCAGCTGCAAACGTTTTCGCACGACAAACGCGCCCTTCGGGAGCATTTATAATTCTCAGTCAAAACTGGACATGATGGTTTAGAAAATCAACAACGATTTTTTATTCCCAATTTTTGAATTATTCCGAGTCGGATGCTCCTCTACTGGGCCCTAAGAAGCCCATAGAACTTCTTACTAGATTGTCAATCTAGAATTTTAAAAAAAACCTTTAAATTTTTTAAAAGTTTTTTTTGTATTAGTTTCAGCAATTTTAGTATCTTTTACAACAACTTAAGAGCATTTGCGGCAGCTTATTAGTTCAGACTTTCCGACTTGCTATATTTGACCTAAACTACTGACGCCCATTAGGACAGATCTAAATTCAAAATTCTTTTTTCCTACAATTTTCGATGAAACTACCAAATAGGAAGCTTATAAAACCAAAAAACTAAAAAGAAGCTTTCAGCTTTTTTGCTTTTCAGAACTTCATATTACCCAGCGAGAAACTCATTTTTGATGTCAAAAACCATTATTTTCAATTTACAAAATTTTTCAAGCTGTACCAAACAGTTTAAAGCATCATACCACATCTCTTAGGCGCTATTAGAAAGGTCTTCTTGACCAAAACCGAAAAAAGTTACTGAATTAGAGATAATTGAAAAAATCACTTTTTGGGTCGTTGGGAAAAGGCCAAAAATGAACAAAATCCATCTTAAAAACCATCAAAAAGTGGCGTTAACAAACTGCCATTATTTCCGGGGTCTAGGGTCGCATGCAAAAAGTAAGGGAATTCTAGCGGGGAGTTTTTGAGCACCCGAACAATTTTTTTAAGTAGGAATGTTAAACTGGCCAAATGTCAAAGGTTCCGAGGGTTCCCCTACCCCTCTCAATCGGTTTAAATAGCGTCGTGGGCACGCGCCCATCAAGGATAGCCGGTTCCTGTGAAAGTAGCACAAAATTTTTCGACCATACTCTTTTAAAAAATGCCAAATAAGTTTTTCAAATTAAAGTGAGATAAAAAAGCGTGATGTAATAAAAGATACAAACGAAAAAAATAATAATTAGGGTATGCTCGATAGTCATAGCAAACTAGGCCAATAGGAAAACAATTTTTGAAAAAAACTGACAAGAAAAGCGAAAAAAACTTGAAATTTGTTAAAATTTCTTTTTTTTTTTGCAGAAATCTCTTGGGTGTTAGATTCCCAAAAAATTTTAATCGAACAAAACTAAGATTTTTGGCCCTACGTTAAGCTTTAATAAGCTAATTTAAGCCTGCCCGCTCACCTCATTAGCTCGAAATTAGACCAAAACCAAAAACTTCATAACGGTTTTCTTGACACGACTGAAAGAGCTTTAATATGATATATCACTCGACCTATTCTAACGATTAATTGCGGTACTAGATTTAGCGTGGAAAACAAAAAGACTATAACTAACACAAACCCGAATACAAAGTTTTTCTACATTTTTCATATGATCAGAACAACAACGCTTGACAACACGAATACATATAAGCATGTCTACACTATTTAACACAGAGTCTACACTATTTAGCTAACGAGAACACAAAAAGCAGCCCTTTAAAGTGCAATAAAAAGAAATAGAAATAAGCCTCGAGTTAATAAAAATTCGGCTACGTCTGAGATCCGAACATGCAACCAAGAGATTAAGCGTCTCACACACTAACCAGTCAGCCAAGGACGCTTAATAGGCACCAAAAAAAGCCACAATTAAAGCAGAAAAGATGGAATTTGCAGATAAGTGACCACTTTTAATGAAAACTTATATTTGCGAGTTAGGCTGGAAAAAAAAGGTTCGTAATAATACACAAAGCTGGTCACAAGTGTAAATAGCAACCGACTGTGCAAATTCACCAATTCTAGTTTCCGCAATGATCGCCTGTTAGCAAAGTTGTTTACGGTAAAAGTCTAGTACCCGATTACAATTCCCTTGCTAATTGCAAGAGTAAGGAAATAAATAAAAAAAGAAAAACAATTTGGCCACAATCATTTTACCAATATTACAATTCTAACAAATCCAGGAAAATTCGAAAACCGTCTTTTTTTGCAGTGAAAAATGAAGGGTTAAGAAAAATAAAGAAGGCAACAATATAGAAGGCATACACAGCCATAACTACCACTCACATCACTTCCAGGTTCTAGATAGTCTCTGGAGCAGTTGATTAGTCTGCACTGTGTGTCCCTGGAGTTGGTTTGTCTCTGCTCCCTTAGAGCTTCCAGAAGAGGCACCATGAACTGGTTCACTCTCTGTGAGTTCAGACCCAACTTATGTCTAGTCTCGTTGTGGTTGATAAGGGCATCGCCTTGACTGCAGCTCATCAGTGCTGCCTCTTGTGTTTTATTGCCGACCACGCACGATTGCCACACAAGCAGCTGAAAGAAATAACAGATCATCAATGAAATTAATACTGGCTGAGCCAGTGAAACAGCTAGTAATGGATACCGTTCATCCTTTAGTTTCTTAATTATTATGCTATTTGTTCAGAATGAAAGTGTCGATTAGGCTAGTTGTTTGTTTTACCGAGTCGATCAAAGTTAGAAAAACCGCGGATTGTTACAGCAACAAAAAACCTTGAACATACCTCTAATTTCATGAACACGTCTCTCATGGCATCCTCCTTGCACAATTCATTTACTTGATTTTGAACTCCCTTCAAAATAGCAGTTACTTCTTCTCTCGAAAGCGGTTTTCCTCCGTCACTCTGGTACGTCTTGATGTCTTGCAATAGAGTCCTCATCGATCCAGCGAGACCTTGGGCCGCCATCACAATTGAATCTCTCTGATCTTTGTCTACATTCGGATCAGAGGCATCTGTCTTGGCTTGCTTAATCAGATAGTTGCACGACACCATCAAATGCTTAAGAGCATTAACAGTCGCGTCTTGGTCTTGCTTGTCCATGTTATACCTGACTTTCTGCATCAAGGCATTAATCTGACTAAACTGGCTCGAAGCATTGCTCTGGTCTCCGGTGCCCAAAGTGTGAATGAAGCTACCCAAGTTGCCCAAATCAGTGTGCAACTGGTGAGACAATCCCAGGACTTCGTTTACAGTGTCGGTGTCTGGACAATTTGGTTGAACATTGTTAACCACGTCCTTTACCCTCTGGACAACTGTGTCTGTAGCCCTTGACAACTGCTGTTTGCTCACTGGATCATTAGCAGCAACTGGTGCCAGTAAGTGAGCTACACTCTTTAGGTTCAGGGACGCTCCTTCTAAGCTGCCTTTGCTGAGCATGATCTGTTCTTGTGATTTTTGTTCTACGCCACTAGTGAATGCAATTTCTCCAGCTTTGTTTGTCAGTGCTTCCACTTTGCTGAGCACTTCTTGTACCAACTCCAACAACGCCTGAAATGCAGTAAAATCTAATACCACGATTTCGTGAAGAAAAATGGACAGACTTTTAATGTTGTCCGTCTGAAAATTGAATACCGAGACGAGGCTGCTCTTCACGGTCACAAGCGAGAAAACGGCAAAAACGAAGTGAAATAAGAAAAAGAAGGTAAAATTAAGCATCAAAAAAGTTGCTTCAGTTGCTATCGAATTGCCAATGCTATGCAGCAAAAAAAGTCACCAAATAAAAAATTAAACTATTTCAATGTTCCGGATTTGAATCTCCGAGTTGTAGATTAGGAGTCTCACATCCTCGCATCTTAGTTCGTTCGTCGATACTTGAAATTCGATCGATAATATATTTTGGAATAAGAAGTTTACTACAACTAACCTGACTGTTGGCAGCGCCCGATCCAATCACAATAAACTGATCTAGCTGGTCGACAATATTCTGCGCCTTCGTTGCTATATTCTGTGCGGCATTGTGCAACTCTTCGGCCGACGCTTCACTTCCCGGATGAGCCAACTTCAGCAAATCTCCAAATGCGTTTGTCAAATCTACCGCGCTGTCAATCAAATTTCTTTTATGTGGCTCTTCCAACTGCGAGGCCAGAATTTTGATAGCCTCTGAGAAGGCCTTCAGGTCTTTTGAGACTGTCGAAAGCGAGTATTGCAGTTGGTTCTCATTTTCTGGCACCAACATCTGAACCGCCAAGTGAGTAATGTTGCTCAAATACTCATTCGCTCTCAGGCCAGCCATCGCTGCATTCATATCTCCTGCATCATTTGAGAGCAGATACCCTCTTTGTGATTCCAAAAGGTCGTCCTCAACCTCTGCCACCCTTCTGACACCCTCGTCGAAGTAGTTGCCGACCTTAGCCTTCTTCGCTCCCCAGTCGATTCGGTTAATTGTCACTTGTCTCGCGTCGCCATGTCTCAACACTTGAGGCATGGCAGCAGAGCCATTGTAGCTCCCCCCTCGGGTACTTGAGATGTCGCCTCCAATTTGGAACGTCTGTGCCTGCTTAGAGTCGATGTTTTCTTCTTGTATTGTGTTTTCTGTATTTTGGTTGTTCATTCTTTCGCGTTTTCGCATCTAAATTGCATCAAAACAATCTTTTCCTGGAAACAGGAAGCTTTTTTTACTTCAAAAACATCAATTCAGGCTCTGGTCGGATTCGAACCAACGATCTCCTGTTTACAAGACAGGCGCATTAACCACTATGCTACAGAGCCATACTCACGTAGCTGGCAGATATTTCTTAATTCAATTGGCGCTTATTAGAGTGGACGCCTATCATGTTTTTTAATGCACATCGACCAAGCGCTAAGCGCATGATTTATAAAACACACATCAATATCCCTTCTCAACAAACTGAAGATATGAAGATGGATAAGACTTGCTGAAATAAATTTTTGCTGAAATAAATAGATGGATAATATTTGCTGAAATAAAACACATAGCAAATAAACTCAGATGGTAACCAGATATAATTTCTGGTGATGCGAAATTGTGATACGAATTAAGCTTAGAAAAAGAATCAGAGATTGTTTCAGATTTAGTGAACCTAATGCGCAACTTTTCCAGTTCCCCCCCCCTTTCAAATTCAATTTTGAAAAGTCTATTTAGCGTTGTCATAATGAAATGAAATTTAGCGTGGTGAACAAATCGACTATTTTGAACAGATTTGTTCTTCATACTTTACAGCGTAAGATCACGCGTTTAGCCGTAATAACACGTAAAACAAGGATAAAACTCGGTATTTTGAAAGGGGGGGGAACTGGAAAAGAGCCCTGATATGGCATGTCGAGCATTAAACCGCCAAAATTTAGAAAAAATTGACAAATTTAAAATCACTAGGTTCAAAAATGGTTCAAAAAATGATGATGAAGAGATGTAACTAACTTTTTGCAAGTGGATCTCAATGTATCCCTCCAACAGCTTCACTATCTGCTTCCCCTCTGTAGTCTGTACCACGTAGTCTTCAGCCTGATATCCCGGCAGAGATATGTGGAAAGAGGCATCAGTGCAGAAGTGCTGTTTGATCTGAGTCAGGTAAAACATCTTGGTCACCTCCTTATTCACCGCATCTGCAGTTACGATTCCATCCTTGTTGATTCCCAGCAACACTGGAACCAGTTTATTCTTGTTCTTCATCTTCTCCTTCACAAGGTAAAACCGGTACCCGAACGTCTTCAAAGCCCGACACTTATCAATGTACTTCTTGGTCGCTTTTCGCTCCACCTTCTCCAGGAACTCCGGGTCATTTTGGTTGATCTGAGCATTACCATCGCTGTACTCAATTTCAGCGGTGATCTGTTTAATGTAGTTCATTCTCGCCTGGTCTATTCTCTTCTCCACTTTGCTGGCTTTTCGATACTCCTCCGGAAGGTATGATTTGAATTGGGCGCTCATTTCTTTCACAGGTGCCTCCAGTAAACCGTTCTCACTGATAGCTGCTAAAGCGGCTAGTTCGATTGCTGTCTCTTCAGATACTGGATGGGCCGAGTTGGTGATAGCTTCTGAAGTCTAAAAGGATTTCAATTTTTCCCGAAAACGCTTCACTTGATCTCAATAAGACAAGAATTATTTTGTAATAGTTAATAATTAGAATTTTCTGAAAATTTCCAAAAAAAATCACAAAGATCGTCTTATTTCTTAAACTAAAAAGATTTGGGCATTCTTAATTGGAGGCCTAATTTGCAAGCCCTGAGATTACTCTGACTGCCCCCAACTACAGGTTAGGAATTTCAAACTTTGAAAAAAAATTAACTTAAGTTTCATGAAAATTTCTTAAAAAGCACAAAAAAAGTTATATCTGGAAAACTGCAACGTTTTGAGAAGTCATATTTGGAGGCAAAAAGAGCAACTCCAGAGAGTACCCTGACAGATTCCAATAACAGGATTGCTATCTTCAACGTTTTGGAATTTTTTAACATCTAATTTTTTTTGAAAATTTCGATGAAAATCATAAAAAAACGTCATATCTCGAAAACTAAAAGGATTTGAGCAGCCACGATCAGAGGAAAAATTCGCAACCCCTGAGAGTACCCTCACAATATCCAAGAAAAAAGGAATAAGATCTTCAACGCTTTGCAATTTTTTTGAAAAAATCATAAGAAACGTCATATCTCGAAAAATACAAGGATTTGAGAAGTGAGATTTGGAGGCAAGATTCGCAACCCCTGAGAGAACTCTGACAGCACCCAACTACAGGGTGAGAATTTCAAAAATTAAGAAATTTTTAAATTAAATTTTTTATAAACTTTGAAAAATCTCGAAAATTGCAATTTTCGTTAACTAAAAGGATTTGGTTATTCATATATGGAGGCCAGAATCGCAAAACCGGGGAAAACTCTGTTAACATCCCATTATTAGGTTACGAATTTCAAACTTGAAATAAACCCTGAATTTAAACTGGAAAATCGAAAACAAACCTTAACCATAGCAATATATGATATAGCTTAAACGTGAAAAAAATTCTTTTGTGAAACATGCAAAAATAACCATAGCAATACAGTGCTGATTTAAATTAACCGGACAAAACGCGTGAAACTTGAAATTCAAAACGCGTTTTTCTCAAATTGGGTTGAGTTTAGGAGAACACTCATGAAGACAAAACTTGCTTAAAGTTTTAGCAGAATTAATATGGTGTAATTTGTTTTGCAAAATTCGGGTCCGAAATTTTACTCCAAAAATGGGTCATTTTGGCTTTTCTTAGTTAATCAAAAATTACGCCAAAAATACCCAGTCGATCACAGACATAATTATTTCAAAGTGAGCCCCTTACGTAGCTCAACAAACTTTAAGAAGGGGATAATCTCCAAAAAATTGTATACGTTAATTTATTTTTGTTTGATAGACAAAAAAAGGTCATTTTTACTATATAAAATACCAACTTTTTATTTAAAAACAATTTTTAAACAATTTGCATTTTTTTTAAGAGAAAATACCCTTCTTAAAGTTTGTTGAGCTACGCAAGGGGCTCACTTTTATATAATTATGTCTGTAATCGACTGGGTATTTTTGGTGTAATTTTTGATTAACTAAGAAAAACCAAAATGACCCATTTTTGGGGTAAAATTTCGGACCCGAATTTCGCAAAACAAATTACACCATATTAATTCTGCTAAAATTTTAAGCAAGTTTTGTCTTCATGAGTGTTCTCCTAAACTCAACCCAATTTGAGAAAAACGCGTTTTAAATTTCAAGTTTAACGCGTTTTGTCCGGTTAATTTAAATCAGCACTGTATATGATATAGCTTAAACGTGAAAAAAATTATTTTGTGAAACATGCAACATGGCGAGATAGTGAAGCCCGCACTTAAATATATAATAGATGGATGAAAGTTAAAAAATTAGGAGACTGGTAGACAGACACAATCATATTAATTTTGAAAAAGCAGGTATACAGACAGAAAAAATTACTGAAAATTAATGACCTTGCGAAAAAAACTAATTGAAAAAATTTCTTAAGCATTGCAATATATGATATAGCTCTTAAACATGAAAAAACTCTTTCGTTAAACATGCAAAATTATTATGCTTAAACATGGGAGATAGCTGTCACTCGCATTTAAATATAGTATAGATAGATAGATATAGATAGATAGATAGATTTGAAGTAACCATCTCTACGTGTCATTCTGTCTCGCTGAACATTAATTACACTAAAATATAATAATGTCAGCAGACCACTGATTGTTCAATTTAACACTACACGAAAGACTAATTGCATTACCTGTTTGTACAGCAGAGACAATTGCACAGGGTCTGTTTCAGTCACATTCACATCCGAGAAGAAAAACTTCCTCCTGAAGGTCAACTTCACATTGTCCAGGTCAATGTTGCCATGGTCATGCAGACTTTTCGAGTGGTCCAGCCACAACAACTCATCATCTGTCTTCAACTTCTTCCTCAATTTCTCCATTTTCTTCGCATTTCGCCCAATTGTCGCCTGAAAACTATGCTGATACATACAAGATGCAACGAAACTTATTCCCACAACTAAGCAACGCAATGAACGGATAACGAAATGCAGGCCTGACTCCTCGTTTCTAGCATGGAGCATGCTACGAGCAAGATACTTTTGCATTCAATTTATAGAAAAGGAGAAACTCATAAGAAACAAGAAAGTACGAGCTGATTCCCATAAAGTGTATTATGCTTACAAATTTTGACACCAACGAAGTTCCGCCCTGAAAGCGAAGTGGTTACTTAAAAAAAACATCGAGAATTATTCATCGAAAATAGGAGATAATTGATTGACTATCGAAATTTCAAAAAAAAAAGACGTTGCTAACTAACATGTGCTTTTTCTCCTCCAGGCGACCCCTTGACATCCGGCGATAGGGTACCATGGCCCATCGTTTTATTTTTACCCATTGTCAGTGTCGCACCCCATGTCTTAGTTCCCATTCCGGTCATCATGGTCTGGTCACCCAGTCCGGTCTCTGGCTCCACCATGATAGAGTACTCATCTACAATGTCTCCCACTATTCCTTCCTTCTGACATACCAACCGAACTATTTCGGATACTTTCTGGGTCTCTTTTACGTCTATCTTCCGGTGTCCAGAAGGAAGATTGATTGTGATCGTCCTGTACAAGCTTCGGTATTCCAACTAAACGAAGTTCAAAAGATTATTTACATCATGCCCAACAAGTCATTATTAGGTAATCAGATACCATCTACTTTGGAGCTTACTGGTTTTTCTTCATTTTTTCATCATCTTACTGAAGAATGAGATTGTACTAAAACAGCTGTACGTTCTCACTTGTAGGTTTGTGACAGATGGACCTGCGACGAGGCTACCTAGTTTCTCAATGTCTCGGCTGGAATCGTACCATATTCCTTCATTTCTATTCGGAGGGAGATCACTGATTTCCAGCTGCTTCGGCACAAACAACCCGAAACGTTCCACTGAAAAAAAAAACACATTTCTTACCTTAATTCGTGATCATCATCAATTGATTATCAAACTGACACGAACTTCGCGAATGAAGCAATTAAAAATAATAGATCTAAAAAACTCCTAGTGGCGGATCTAGGATTTTCTCGAGGGGGGAGGGATTTTCGAAAAAGCAGGTAAAAAAGCCGTTTTTGGGCACTTTTTGGAAACTTTTGACAAAAAAATCGCGTTTTTTGGCGCGCGCTCCCCCTCAAAGTTAGTATATATTAAAAATAGGGTCGGTCGGGCAAAAATGGATTTCTTAAAAAGTGCCAAAGTGAGGACGGGATCCTTTGGGTTGGCGGGGGGTCGAAATCCGGTAAATCCGCCCCTGGCTGTGTATTAACATTCCAAACCAAATTAACCTCAATTTAACCCTCCAGTAAAAATTAAAATGCTTCCGCAAACCTTCGTCGTGGCGCTGCTTCATAGTTCTAGCTATCTTCAGTCGGACGTCTCCTAGTGTAGTGTTTCTAGGAAAGAGGAAGCTCATCTTAAGCTCCATGGGCATGTCTGGGTTTTCCAGGAAGTCCTGGTTGGACCTGAAGTAGGTCACCTCCACGTCTATGTTGCCCTGGTCAGGCACCATTATTTTGTCTGCAATTAATATTAACGGATAATTGTACAAATATCAAGCAATGATTAATAACCGGATCGTTACGATAATGAAGACGCAGATTATTTAATTATCAATCTAATCAAATCTAAGGACCGCCTGCCTATACACAGATTTTGATCCTACAGCGAGAATTATGCAAATGAAACGGACATCATGATTCAATTTATAAGCCTCGTAAATCACAGGATTATAAATCAAGCCCAAATCTAGTTTTTGCGTTTTCTTCGGTAAATCCAACTCAGTTTACAGAATGCGCAAAGCTAACGTTGTCTTTGATAGTACAAGACAAGGTTTTGCAAATGTTTTGAACCAAGCCTCACAATAACTAAGAACTCCCGTTACAGTAGGGTGCTATGTCACCTCAACTCTCAAAGTCTGTAGCAAATAGAATCGAAACAATAATATGGTATGAACTAAGGGCCTCTAATGATTTTATAACACGCAGGGACTTCAGGACTATGCTCGCATTTCAAACTCAAACCATGTAAGAGCTCCGCAAATTATACTGCAGATATAAACTAAGCTGCAAAATAGACTAACTATATCATAAAACTCACGTTGAATTCTATTACAAGCGAAGCTCCAGCTTCAGTATCTTAACTGCGAACAATTGTTTAATGTGTAGTTGGTTTCAGACCGCTGAACGAGTTAAATCTAACCATAAGTCCAACGAAGTCTCAAGTATCAATATAAAACCTCAAGATCAAAGTTGAAACAAGCGAACTTGACAATAAATTCTAAAGATGTTAGGAAAGCAAATGTTTGCAATAACGAGTATCATAAGCAGTGCAGTTCCCTTCTTTTTGTGAAGCAGAAAACAAGTTTCATATATTCGGAAATTATATACAATCTGCCAGAATTAGAGACAAATCAGCGGTAAAACACCCTGAGACACCACATGAGCCAAAATTACATGTTTTGCCAACTTGATTGCCATGCTTTTGGTAGATAGAATTTGGGCCACTTGGGCATGTAATGTGTTTCAAGCATATGTTCAGGGCAATGTGATTCCTTTACCAGCGTTATAACTAGAAATTCCGCATGAATAACAATAAAGATTTACTGTTTATGTCAAATCATTGCCTGGTTATGATAAACACAGCCAGCCGTGATGCCGGATAATTGAATAGAGAGACAAGTTCCTTCTGCCATTATGGAAGCACTGTACTAAAAAATTGCCATGAAAATTTGAGGCAACATTTTGCAGTTTTTCCCAGCGAAAACAAGGTTTTTAACATCCACACATACAGTTAGCTATACTGAACTTGATATTCTCCAAAAAAAGCTGAAATAGCCGCTATAAACCAGCAAGTAGAAAAAAAAAAGTTGAATTTTACGATTTTTGTTCCGATCATTTGATAAATGTGGAGGATTTTTGCCTTTGAGTGTTTGTTTATCTGTTTTCAACGCAAAATAAGCTACTATAAACAATCATCGGAGAGAGCTTTGAGTGATAAATCATTTTACAGCCATTTCAGTCGTGATTCGAACGACATTAAAAAACTTTCAAAAAACTTTTCAATGTCGACAAAACCGCTTTGAGCTTTTTCGTTTTTAATACCAGGAGCAGTAAAACCAGGAGCAGTAATATAAGGAGCAGTAAATCGACAAAAAAAGACAAATTCAACACAGAAAAACAAATTTAAAAAGAATTAGAAAAAAAAATTAGAAAAAATTAAAAACATGGCCTACCAAAATTTTAGTATTTCTCGCTTTAAGTTCATTTTAGGCAAACATGCTGATCAAAAACAATTGAACATTAAACCATACCTTTTTTTATTGCTAGGGTAACACAGAGGCGGAACACCACTTGCGATACAACAACTCTAGTGTTAAAACAGCAACAACTACAAATAGGACTTCGAAAATTTTAAGCGTAGAAGCAACAACTAAAAATGTTCAAATTTATTTAAACTTTTTACACAGAGGCGAAGCTACGCTTCGCAAACACTTGCGATAACGACTAAAAAGCAGCTCAGTCAAGTGAAATAAGAAAAGTAGAAATGACCCTCGAGTTAGCAAAAACTCGGCTACGTGTCGGATTCGAACCTGCAATCTAGCAAATTCGAGTCTCACCCAATAACCACTCAGCCACGCATGCTTAAAATCCCGTGAAACTAGCCACTAAAAACGCAGCTACATATGCTATTCACTTGCCAATTCGATGCAGCAGAAGTAGCGCCGAACACAAAAAAAAACACAAACTTGCATGTAATAAATTGGAAAGCATAAAGCCAAATTATGTATAAATTATGAATTTCGAAAAAATTTAGAGATACATTGAGTTAGAAAAATTCACAAAACGAATTCTAATTATTGTTGTTGTTTGAAACAGCGCTTTTTCGGTTCATTTGATGAATTAAAAATGCATCAGCTGTGTTAACCTTTTACTAACCAAAGGCCCCAAAGCACATAAGATATTATACTGATACCGCAGCCTATCGATTCAAAATAGCCAACTGAGTAGCGCTTCTATTTGCGACTAAGGTTGGAAAAAAAGAAAATTCGCACAAATCTACTTTGCTTCGCAAGTAAAAAAAAATTCCAGGTGGGGTTGAATTTGAGCATTCGAAAATTTAAATTGGGGCCAAAGTTTTAATTCTCTCATAATTAACATCTAGGTAATGTAGGAAACAAACAATTAGGTAAATAATCCGACAGCCAATTAGCTGAAAATCAAGCGAAATTGTTTGGCAAAATCTTATTGGAAAAAATACAAGAACTGCCTATATAGTTTAATTAAATCTTGCAACCAAACAATCTGCATACTCAATAAGAACAATCAATGATAAAGGCTCTATCCGCTAAGGTATAAGATCAAAATGAAAAAAAAAGAACGAACAACAAAATTTCAAATAAATGACGGCAAAAATTATAAACGATTGCCGCAAAAAAAACTTGCAGAAAATCTGAAAAAAGTCTGAAAGCCTATGAAAATAACGCAATAACATCAAGAAATATATATCAAATTATAAAATTTATACGCAACGGTATAAGAGCTCACAACAAAAAAAAACATAAGAAAAAAAGGCCCCAAATGAAAAAAAAACAGGAAAATTTTTTCAAAAAATTTCGGCCAGAAAGAACCACACGACTAAATCGCTTGCAGAAGTTAATACCACATTCCTTTGTAGAATAAAACGTCGAGTCAAATTTGCAAAATAAAAAATCTGGAAGTGTATCAATTTTTTTGAATTTTTTGGCAAATGGAAACAATACATTAAGCCATCAACTTTGATCAAATTCAAATAAAATTTAAAAAGAATTAGAAAAAAAATTTAAAAAAATTAAAAACATGGCCTCCAAAATTTTACTATTTCTCGCTTTAACTTCATTTTAGGCAAACGAGCTGATCAAAAACAATTGAATATTAAACCATACCCTTTTTTTATTGCTAGGGTAACACAGAGGCGGAACACCACTTGCGATACAACAACTCTAGGATTAAAATAGCAACAACTACAAATAGGACTTCGAAAAGTTTAAGCGTAGAAGCAACAACAAAAAAAATGTTCAAATTTATTAAAACTTTTTACACAGAGGCGAAGCTACGCTTCGCAAACACTTGCGATAACGACTAAAACTCAGCTAACTCAAGTGAAATAAGAAAAGTAGAAAAGAGCCTCGAATTAGCAAAAACTCGGCTACGTGTCGGATTCGAACCTGCGATCTAGTAAATTTTAGTCTCACTCAATAATCACTCAGCCACGCATGTTTAAAATCCCCTGAAACTAGCCACTAATAACGCAGCTTCATAAGCTATTAACTTGCCAATTCGATGCAGCAGAAGTAGCGCCAAACACAAAAAAAAAACACAATTTTGCATGTAATAAATTGGAAAGCATAAAACCAAATTATGTATAAATAATTAATTTCAAAAATTTTTACAGATACATTGAGTTAGAAAACTTCACAAACCGAATTCTAATTCTTGTTGTTATTTGAAACAGCGCTTTTTCGGTTCATTTGATGAATTAAAAATGCATCAGCTGTGTTAACTTTTTACTAACCAAAGGTCCCAAAGCACATAAGATATTATACTGATACCGCAGCCTATCGATTCAAAATAGCCAAAAAAAGTAGCGCTTCTATTTGCGACTAAGGTTGGAAAAAAAGAAAATTCGCACAAATCTACTTTGCTTCGCAAGTAAAAAAAAATTCCAGGTGGGGTTGAATTTGAGCATTCGAAAATTTAAATTGGGGCCAAAGTTTTAATTCTCTCATAATTAACATCTAGGTAATGTAGGAAACAAACAATTAGGTAAATAATCCGACAGCCAATTAGCTGAAAATCAAGCGAAATAGTTTGGCAAAATCTTATTGGAAAAAATACAAGATCTGCCTATATAGTTTAATTAAATCTTGCAACCAAACAATCTGCATATCCAATAAGAACAATCGGTGATAAAGGCCCTATCCGCTAAGGTATAAGATCAAAATGAAAAAAAAAGGACAAACAACAAAATTTCAAATACATGACGGCAAAAATTATAAACGATTGCCGCAAAAAAAACTTGCAGAAAATCTGAAAAAAGTCTGAAAGCCTATGAAAATAACGCAATAACATCAAGAAATATATATCAAGTTATAAAATTTATACGCAACGGTATAAGAGCTCACAACAAAAAAAAACATTAGAAAAAACGCCCCAAATGAAAATAAAAAACAGGAAATTTTTTTCAAAAATTTCGGCCAGAAAGAACCACACGACTAAATCGCTTGCAGAAGTTAATACCACATTCCTTTGTAGAATAAAACGTCGAGTCAAATTCGCAAAATAAAAAATCTGGAAGTGTATCAATTTTTTTTGAATTTTTTGACAACTGGAAACAATACATTAAGCCATCAAATTTGATCAATTTCAAATAAAATTGCTGAAACCAAAACACACCTAACTAATTGAAATTAGTTTCACGCACTTTTAGAATAAAAAAATTAGAAACCATGCATCCGTAAAAATTGCGTCCGTCAAAGATTTTTTGACGGGCGGGCAATTTTCCGCCTACAAAAAAAAATAGTTCCTGGCCGAATTCGAAGCATTGACCTTTGTCTTTAAAGGCAGGTGCAATACCCCTTCGCCACATGCGCGATGATCCAGAGGTAAAATGATTCAAGTGATTTGAGGCTTTCGCTCTTGGAGTGGCGACCCACGTAGTATTCTAGCTGCGTATCCATGAATAAAGTCCACTACAAACATTGCAACACTGCTACGCGCCCAGCGGGAACTGGGACCTTGGAAAACGTAGCATCCGAGGACCAAGCAAAGTCGACGAATCTACCCAAATATTCCCTCACCTTCGCAACTTGGAACGTGAGAACTCTATTAACCCCGGAATCCCCCCTACTTCTATCAAACTCCCTCAAGCATCATCAAATCAACATCGCCTGCCTGCAGGAAACTCGTCCGCACGGTGAAGGCGTACTGATGGCACAAGAAACCGAAGCAAAAAACTGCTACAAGAAACTGCTACAGAAAACCGCACAGGAAAATACGGAGTTGGAATCGCCATCGCTTTGTCCGCCGAGTACTCACTTATGGAGTGGAAAGCATACAGCGAAAGACTATGCTACGCGCGATTGGACGCGCACCCAACACCTCTTTCCATCATCAGTGCCTATTCACCGACTGAAAACGGCGAGGACACAGAGAAAGATGCATTTTACAGTCTACTAAAAGAATGCCTGAAAGCCATTCCAAGAAAAGATGTCCTCTTGATCGGAGGAGATCTAAACTCCAAGCTGGGCAAGCAGCTACTTGATGAAGAGAAGAATATCGGGAAGTTTGCCATCGGAGAACGCAACAACAATGGCCAACGACTTGCCGAGCTTATCGTCTTCTTAGATCTAGTCGCAATGAACACGACAATCCAGAAAAAGCGCCGGAAACTAGCAACGTGGATATCAAATGACAGAAAGACTCGGAATCAGATCGACTACATACTCACCAACCGCAGATGGCGCTCGGCCATAAACGACACAACGATACGTACAGATGGCTGATGCTGGATTCTGATCACCGACTGCTGATCAGTAGTTAAACTGAAGCTAAGAAGCTACGCGAAGAAACTGAAAATATGTCGATATAATGTGGCTGCCCTGAGAGTACCAAAAACCACGGCAAGCTACCAACGGGAATTGAGCATCCAACTCGAAAACAACCCTGTCCGTGTCTCTGTAGAGAATGCTTGGAATAATTTGGCGCAATCTCTACACAAGGCAGCTGAAAAGGCCGTTGGCGCCACCACCAGAAAGAACAACCCCTGGATATCAGGAGAAACATTGAAGCTCATCCTGGACCGAAACGATGCTACCTCCAAGAAACAAGACGCGAGCACAATCAAGGAAAAGCGAAAAGCAGTTAACAGATTTCTCCTATCAAAGATTAAAGACATTGAGCTCGCTGAAGCCCGTGGTGATTAGAGGAACCTCTTCCGGATCTCTAGAGAAATTGCAGGAAAAAAAATCGAACCCAACAGAGACGATACGCAAGCAAGACGATACAGTCATTCACGACGCGAAAGAAAAGCTCGAAGAGTGGGCCCGCCACTTCGAATCGTTGCTTAACCGACCAACGCCTGAAAAGCATGATTGGGAGAATGAAAAGCTAGAGCAATATCTCAGCTCAATCAGTACGACAAGCCCCACGACTTCTGAAATCGAGAAACACTCAGTCAAGCCAGAAAAGCACTCAAGACAGTCAAGAACAATAAAGCTCCTGGGAATGATAATCTTCAGCCCGAAGTGTTCAAATACGGCGGCGAAGAGCTCGTCAAAGCAATGAAAAGATTACTGGAACAAGCCTGGATCGAAGACAGAGTTCCCGAAACCTGGAAAACCGCCATGATTGTTCCCTTTTTCAAGAACGGTTACATCTCCAAATGCGAAAACTACCGCGGAATATCACTCCTGCCCATCTCACTCAAGCTCTTCTCCTCCAACGCATTGCGACGAAGACATCACAAGGGGGAATCAAGCCGGCTTCAGGCCGAAACGTGGATGCCGCGACCAGACCTTTGCGCTTCGGCAAAAAATCGAACAACGTCACGAGTACAGCCGACACACGCACATGACATTCATCGACTTCAAAGCCGCTTTCGACAGCGTGAGTAAAGACGTTATCTGGAAGATTTGCACTTCTCTGAGAATGCCAGAAAAAGTCATTCCAATCCTCAAAGCTATGTATTCAGAAACATTCAGTCAAGTGCGAGCGAACAAATCACTATCCAGAAAATTCCAGATCACAACAGGTGTCCGCCAGGGCTCCGTGTTATCGCCTCTACTGTTCATCATGGGGATAGACTGGATCATGAAAAACGCACTAGCCGATAATAACTTTGGCCTCGAACTAGACAACGCGACAGTTACAGACCTCGATTTCGCAGATGATATCTGTCAACCAGAAGATGACGAAGACAAAGCCCAAGAGCTGCTCACCCGCGTATCAGAAAGTGCCTCGAAAACTGGCCAAGTCATTAACAGGAAGAAGACAAAAGCCATCAGCACCAAAAACAACATAATTCCGATCCATAACAACGAGCGAGTTGAAGTTGTTCAAAGCTTCTGCTATTTAGGAAGCACAATGACCATTGACAACAGAACTGAACCCGAAGTTCGTAGTCGTATCGGCAAAGCCACTGGAGTCTGAAAAACCTCCAGAACATTTGGACATCAAGAGAGATTCCAATCTCAATCAAACGAAGACTATATGACGCTTGCATCAGGAACACCCTCTTGTACGGTTGTGAATCATGGCCTCTGACATACACTGAACTCAACAAACTCGAGAGCTTCGATCGTCGGTGCAGACCATTTTACACAAACCAAGCCTCCGAGCCACTAGCCACAGTAATCCAGAGACGACGCCTGAAATGGGTTGGCCACGTCCTTCGCATGCCACCTGAAAAATTCCCGAAAGCCTGCTTATCTTTCATGAAAGACGACTCCTGGAAGCGACCGCGCGGAGTCATTAAAACTTCCTGGAGGAGACAAGTCGCAAAAAAACTGGAACCGATCCTAAAACCCTATCGTTGCCCAAAGAAGAAATGGGAGGATACGTGGATGGAGATTTGTCAAGAAACTGCTGAAAACCGCCAACAGTAGAGAGCTGTTATACGCGACTTAACCATGGCGGACAAAAGGCAGCAATGCCTGCAAACGTCCTAAGAAGAAGAAGAAAGGAGAAGAGTTGTTAACTCGATAAAGTGCTACCTTCCGGTTTGATAACGCTTGCTATGAACACACGAAAACACGCTTTGCGGACAAAAACACACAACCTAAATAAGTGATAAATCACTTCGTTCATCAACGCTTACAAAGAGATAAAACCAAATTGTATGCCTTCATAAATATTCTACCCCTCACTAGACTCTATGGTTTTACGTAATATACATTCTAAAGCACCCATTCATTACCGCTGACATAGAATAGGTACTTTAAAAATCAGGAGGATACAATACCGAGGCGAGAAGTTCTATTGAGAGAGGTTCCAATAACTAAACTCCGATCTTGGAGTTACGACAACATTGCTGAGGAAAAGTTTCGTTTCCGATTACAAAAAACTTTGCCAATATGAAAAATGATTCCAGTAAAATTTGGAATACAGAAGTTAAAATAATGTTTTAATTTAGTTTAACTTTCTCCATGCCATAACCTAATCAAATATCTCTCGTCTCCCGAAAAACAAACCAGTAGATAAAGAAAACATTCAGTCACACACTACTTGCAAAAACCGAATTGTTTGATTAAGCTTCAGCCGAAAATCAAACACAGAGGCGAAGTTGCACTTTGCATACACAAGCAAAAAAAAATGACCGATAACGCTACTGAGAAAAACTGAATTAGTAAAACTTTGAGTCTACAAAATTTCTTAAGTGACGCACGCCAATTTTGAGTCTATATAATTGCTAAGTCACGCAAGCCAAATATGACGCTTTAGCAGTACCACTCAATTTGAAAAAAAAATACCAACTAACATGCCTCAATTTATAGAGCGGACGCATACTAGTATACGAAAAAGTTCAATAAAAATATCCGACCCTGCCCAGCTTCGAACCCTCTCATTTTGTTGCTGGTGTCCTTCCCTACCTCTACGCTACAGATCCATGATACCTTGAAGCTTAAGTGCTCTTTGTAATATAATAGTCTGTGTTAATATCCTTAGCATTGGCAGTATTTAATAGCTGGATCAAAATTAACACTTTCAAAATGAACAACATATTTGCGACTTAGGTTGGAAAAAAAGAGAGTTCATACTATAACACAAGCTATGTTTGTGTCAACACCAAAGAATGTATTTATTCAGAAAAACAGAAAAACGATATCATGAGGAATAAGCTATAAAAAACTATTTTAATATGAAAAGCCATGATCTTGAAAATGTTTTTTTTTTGCTTTTCAAACGACGCTATGTGAGACACACACACACACTCACGGATTTATCATAAGCTGAAACATTTCCAGAAAAACTAACAAATTTCGAATAGAGCGTGTTATTAAAATTCAAACAGGCTCAACAAAAGTCGGTTGGCGACGAGGTCTGTTCGGCTGAAGGTAAGAGATCAGCCCGTGGATGCAGTTTTTTACGGTTACGGTTACAAGAGTGCGGATGCAATACCCTTGCTTATCACTAGGTTAAACACGGAGGCGAAGCTGAGCAGCGCTTGTTATATAAAAAAAAAGACGCAAAGTTCAAATCTTCAGAAACGGCAAAAAACGTGAGCTTCAGAAACGGCAAAAAATCTCAATGCCTTATCAAACCTTTGTAATCAGATAAATAAATAGATTTATGGTTCAATCATGAAAAAAGACAACTCATTGCTTTCTTACACGACGAAACAGAAAAAGCAAATCCAAATCTAACTTCGCTGAAAAACCTTCGGCTACAAAATGCCCAAATTATATACAAATGAATGACTAAAAACATATTCAATGCTATTCTTTTTTATTATTGAACTCCCTTAAATGATTTTCATAACTAGATCCCTTAAATGATTTTCATAACTAGAGAAGGGAAATCGTGAAAGAAACATTTAAAGTTTCGTTCAAAAATTGCAGTAAATCTAGAAATTTAGCTAACTGTCCTCCCTTCAGCAATACTAGTGCTATCATAAGCTTCCATTTGTTGCTTATTTTGACCTAATAGAAACAAAATAGCACAAAATTGAATAAAACCTGAAACTTTATAAGCTGAACAAATGATTCATTGATTTCAAGAAGCAAGTCGTTAACACGAAAAAAGCCTATATTCTCATTTGCTAACGCTTACTTATTGCAAGCGAAATAATTTGAAAACAAATTAAAAACCGGTAATGAGACAACCGAAAAAATAAAAATTATACCACTGATCAGCTGAACACTGGATTCGAGCCACAGCTCTATAGATTACAAGTCACTAGACTTCCCCACTGATCCATCCGCCGCACTTTATTTGAGCGCTAAGACCTCAAAGACCATTTTTATCCACGAGGGAAAGGACCAACATACGAGCTGTAGAGCTCATCACGGCGAACCGCTGTTGTGCCCTTGCTCAAAACTACATTCCATTTTTTGCTATTTTTCTGGGCTGAGTAATGTTGCCTCACCCTCATGCAACGATCATGATGGGCCTCGAACATCCGCCCTTTTGATTGATACGCGGAGACGTAACCACTTCACCACCGCTCCCCTATCACGACACATCTCCTGATAGTAAGTACTAGGTAATAATGGCGGTAAAACCGCGGATAAAACGCATGCGCCTTAACCACCAGCGGATCTCGAGGGGGACGGGGTGGGGATGCGGACGCTCTTTTCCTCATGGATTCGACCCCCTGCCGACCTAATGTAAAGGGTCCCCTCTTTGTACTAATTTGAGATATCCTTTTTTGGCTGAAGGACCCTAAATTTTTTCTAAAGGCACCTTTGGCACTAATATTTACTGATTTTGAGGGGAAGTGCGCGCCAAAAAAACGCAACTTTTTGGTCAAAATTTTCCAAAAAATGCCTAAAAACACCTTTTTTTTCTTCGAAACAGTGTGTTTTTAGTGCTTTGGGAGAGCTCGACATTTTCGAAAATTTTTTGAAAATCCCCCTGGCCTAAACCGCTCGCTTAAAAAAAAAGAAGTTGATCAGCATATGTTTACTAGATATACTGAAATTCAACACAAAAAACTTTACGTCTTACGTTTGAGAAAATTGGACCCGTATTATCTGTCATTGTTTTCTTACATAATTTGCCTATTCATATTAGCATGAGGTGACAATGTCTGTTCATGGGTTTACAATAGCAACACGTTACCCTAAAAATTCAATGACTTCAGCTTACTTTCAGTTGCATGCCAGCTTCTAACTTCGTCAAAATAACAGGCAATTGACATTTTAAATACTATTTTCGGCAGTTTTATACATTGATTGAATCGAAACGCATAACTCCTACAATGAATAAAACTTTGTATGATATGAAACCATGCCAAACTTGTTTAATTCTTCCCAGAACATCGTCAAAACTATAATTTGATAGCAAGCAAATTGTTTTATTTTTTAGCGTTTTTTTTCACCATGATGGTACTCTACGGTAACTTATACGTACGGTGATTTCATCTGGGAAGCGCAAATAATACTACAAAATTTCATCTTTTTCAAATTGCAGCACAGGCTGAGTTTAAAAAATGTGTCAAGGTTAAATGTATACTTTAATCTATATTAATTTACATAGTTTTATATTTAGGTAAATGTTGCATTCTAGTAAAACTACCATGTACACTATAAGAAAGATCCATTCAAAAATTCACAAATGTTTGCGATATTCGCTTGCAAGTTCAACTGCAAAGCATATATACCAATTTAAATAAGACTACCATCTACAAATGAGTACAAAATAATTCAATGAATTTAAATTATGACATCATTTATTTAAATTATTCGAAATATTCTTAAAATAAAAAGGAAACAATATAATTTGAGTGTGCATTTAATATAATTTCTGATGTACTGCACCTATAAATTATTATTTTTTTCAAAATATACAACAAAAAAAAACAGAAATAGCGATAGATTAGATTTCTTGCACTTCTCCAAGCCTGATTTTAGATGATGCTGTTGATTTATCCAAATTAGTCGCTGGATGCCTTGGTACAAACACACACACACACAACACAGCCTTTTCTCAATCGACGTTGATGTTGTTTCCCGTTATTGTTTCAGTCGAATTAAGATGGAGGAATCGGCAATTAGTCAGTCAACTTCAGAGCACGTGGAGTTCATATCTTCCAATCTGCGACTCAGGGTGTGTTTGTAGAGGAAAGCACCGTCCTCGGCATGTGAGAACTCCTATACACAAACAACAGGAGACGGTTGCAATGCAAGAAGCACAAAATGCTCCGAGCAGTTCTCATTACAGAAAAAATGAGAAAACTTTCTAAAATGAAATGAAAGCCACTAAGTCGAAAAACATGTCGAATGACTACTACAAAAATTTCATACTTTTGTCTCAAACAATGTTCAATTAGAGGAAAAAGCGTCCAGCCATACAATCGCCGGCGTCAAATAAGTATTCAGAAACATTTATCGAAAGGCAACTAAGCCGATAAAACTTGAGTAAACTCTCGTTGAGATGCTAAAAATATTATATAAAATATATATATGGCCTTAAATCTCTTTGAATTTCAAGAACAACCTAAGATAGACACTTTTTGAGAACACTCACTTAAAAACACTCAATTTGAGAAAAATGCATTAACAGGTTAAAGTTCTTATTCCGCTAGAAAATCTGAAAAATAAAACCCACTTTCAAAACTAGAAGACGATCAAGTTTTATAGACCAAATATGTCGAAGAAAAACAAAAAGATCTCTACGATTACTTGGAGAGTCGAATGAGAAATTTTCATCTGACAAACTCACAGCAACTGTCCGCACAACTTGGACCAAAGAGTGAACGAGAATGTTTTACAAACCAGCAACAAACCTAAAATCCTGGGCGTAACTTTAGATAATCTCTTGTCTTTTACACACCATATAAGTAACATCATGACCGAAGTAAAACGAGAAACAACCTACCAAAAAAATTTTCTGGTACTAACTGAGGTTGCAGTTAAGAAACGCTTAGTGTTACTCAAAGCCATTGGGTGCAGTGGTCTCAATTATACTGCTTCAATCTGGTCGCCCTCGCAACACCAGATGGAATGACCGCAAAATTCAGCAGAATACTGCTCTAATAACTGCAACTGATTGCACTAAAATGAGCCCTATTGATTAATTTCGTTGCGAAACCGAGATCTTGCCATTCAAAACTCACAATGAAAAGCTTTGCTCACCACCCGCAGAGAGCTGAATATCACACTACACGCTCATACTAAAAATCTAGAAAAATTGAAACAGAGTCTGGCTGAAAATACTGATTGAGATAAAACACCTCCTCGACGAATATAAATCTTTCTCACCATCAGATTACAGGCTTACTTTGAAAAACATTCACCAGACGGAAATTAATAATTATACAAATAGTACCCCTGAAAAACTAACAGGCTCAGGGAATCTCCGTGTTGCACAGGAAGAAGGTCGCCTCGCACTATATTCCTTCTTGCTCAACTGCGCTGCGGATATAGCATTCATCAACAGCTACTTTTAGAGAATCAAAAAAGGCACCAATCACATCTGTCCTAACTGTTTTTATAGTCCTCATGACGTACCTCACCTTTATAACTGTCCAGTCTCTACTTAAAAACATTTAAAAAGACGGCCTGTGGGACCAAACTGGCGCGAAATCGCCAACTGGTCTCAAATAAAACATCTGGACAGGAGGGGTTTTGTACGTTCCCCAAAAACAAAAACCAACTCACATTAGGAGTTACTCTCGGTTCTCCGCATTAGATAAAATTTGCCCGCAAGAACCAGGCACGGGAGTTTTGCTCGGTTCTCCGTTACTGAAATAGGGGGCTTTCCCGCTCTTAGCGAACCCTGGAATCGCCAAATACTGTTTGACAGACGAGACGACATAAAAAATCAATCTCCGCAATTACGATTGTGGAGTACTAAAAAAAAGATGAAAGCGAGTTGGAACAGCAGAAGAATCGATGTTTATGAGTAGCTGCTAACAACAACAGAAAAAAAATCAAGAAATTTGAAGTTATTATTAATCAAGCTATCAAATCAATTGTGTTTTTGTTTAACAAGTTGATAACTTGAAAGCCGCCTATCATTCGATTTAATAACGCTTGCTAACTCCAAGCGTAAAAACATCAACAGAACACATAAAAATAAGTTTTCATGGTGTTTATGGAAAAAAATGCACAGTTGAAATGAAGAGACTCAATTTCAACCACTGAAGAAAAATATTTAGACCAGTTTTTTAAAGAACTTTTTGCAATATCATTTTTAAATCTGAATAATTGCTTGGCCATGAAACCACTTTTGACCTTCATACAAGCTTTCTTTAAGATAGTTACAATCGCGCAAAAGAAAAGCCAAACTGAGCCCTGGCTCCTTCCACTTTCTCGATAATGTTCGGAACGAAAGAAGCCTTCTATTATGCTGGTTATTCTGAAAGGCACGCGGGAAAACGAAAAATGAGAAATTTTAGGATAACTAAGCTCGACGTGCTATATAAGATTAAACACAGACGCCAAACTGCGCTTCGAAAACACTATCGAGAACAAAAAGCAGCTTTAGAGTTCTGAAATGTTCAATAAGAAAAAGAAATATAAGCATCAATTTAGCAAAAAAATTCGGCGACGTCTCGGACTCAAAACTACGACCTACTGCGACAGAAATTATGAGTCTCATGCAATAACTACTCAGCCACAGACGCTATTTCAATCAAAAACACTAGCCACTAACAAAGTCGAAAACAAGCTATGAAATTTCCAATGCTACAGATCGTGATTATAGCAAAAAGGCACGGAACACTTTCATTTGCAAGTTGGGTGAGAAAAAAAGAAGGTTCGTACTAAAACACTAGCTCCTCGCTAGCGTAAAAACCCAGTGAGATAACAACAAAAATATATTTAACAAGATCATGAAAAATTTAGCAGGATTTTTTTAACAATAGATTGTAGCCAACATACAGTTGAAAAAGCGTTAGAGCCGGCTAAATTATTTTCTTCGCTCGTAGAGTTTCAAAAAAAAATTGTTAAAAATCTATAACTACTTTTATCAAAAAATCAGGGCCTACTTGTTTAAACATCAAAACTTCTCAGCCCTTTTCTTTAGATTGAACTCCGATTCATAAATTTTTAAAAGCACTTGCACATCTGTTTCTTTCGTCTCACCCTTATTGCCACATTTAGCCGGCTAGATTCGAAAAAGCGAGACAAACTTCAAAAATTGTGGCCATACTTTCCACATTGAGCCAAAATGTCAATGACTGGATATTTATTAAATCCATAGATGATTGCTTACAAAAGTTCGTATTATCCGCTCGTGCAGGGATACCCCTACAACTCGTTCTTCGCTTGCAACCTTTATCTCAAATTTGGCACCGTAATTCTCAAGGAAACAGTTCAAGGAAACAGTTCAAGGAAACAGTTCAAGTTTCAACAAAAAATCATTATTTAAAAAACGCGTACTCTTTCTGCAATCACCATAGCTTTTCCATACCGCGAAAAATTGAGGGCAGAAAATCGGTCCAAATTTCAAATGAAAACTTTTTCTAAGTAGAAGCCAATTTCTACGAAAATTAACAGCGATGTTGCTTATGCAGACAAAACAGCTGCTACTTTTCTCTCGATTTTACTTTTAGCCTCAGATTTAACAGGCAGTTTCAAAAAGGTTTTCCATTGTCAAAAATGGTTAGAATCTCAAAATTAGACCATTTGCATGGCTAAAACGTTTTCCACCTTTTCGTACGATTGAACCTAGTGGTTTTCGAAAACAAGAAAAAGCAAAAAAAACTACCAACAGTTCCAAATTTGGGCATTTTCAAACAAATAGATCCCTACAAAAATAGATTCGTAGCAGCTTATGCAGAGAACCCTATAACATGCTCTTTTGATTGAAATCCTAATCTCCGATTTGAAACCTCGGAATGGAAAAAAAAACCAAAAAAGGGTAGAAAATTCCCCCCCGCCTGAAATTTTCGAAGCCCACCGGGTACGGCAAGAAAAAATACTAGTAATGTACGGCAAACAGGGGAGTAACCGGTCTTTCCTTCGGTCCTTAGACCACTTTTGTGAAAATAATGATGCCACCAAAAAAAGCACCCATGCTTCGGTTGTGTAAATATGTCATTTAGTTGAACTCATCGAAGTTTCCGAAAAAAGACTGACACTTCACTTATTCGAAATTCGTCTAGTCTCACCTCGAGTTATAAAAAAAAGCGACAAGAGACATAAACGGGAATAAGAGTCACGCAGAACAAGTAAGCTGAGCAAAAACAACGCGATAATTTTTTTCATCGAAAATCTGTTTAATTTAGGGAGCGTTCACAAATTCTAACCCGCAGTTTAGACTGAAGCACTCAAAAGATTTAATGAAGTCAACACACATGCTATGTAAACGAAAAAATGCCACGATAGCGAAACTAAGGCATAGCATGTGAAAAAAAGTGCATAAAACTGGCTGACGAAGAGCTGAAGAAATGATTCAGTTATTTTTTTAAACAAGTTGTTTTTAATAAAAAAAGTCTTATTCCGATTTGTTCATGCTAGCTAAAATGCCTGCGGAAGCGTAACAATATCACTTTAAAACCTTTCCAGTTTCAAGGATCATTAATTTTTCACCCTTTTCTGGCAAGACTAGCCCCATTAGGTAATCTTTTTTATTCCACTGAGAATTCTGTTACGCAGGTGAAGCCATTTGTATTTTGATTATCGGAGAGCGATTTGTCTTCCCTTTAAGCAAATGAATTTGAAAATGAACGAAAAATAAATCAAAAGTCAAACTGCGAACTGATTCGTTGAACAATTTCAGACATTTTCTGAAAAAAAAACCTCTTACAAAAATGTCCTCCCTTCGTTCATTGACAACTAAAACAGACAGAACAAGGAAATAAGTCGACAATCAAAATCGCAGACCATGAAGTCGATCAATTTAAAAACCCAAAATGGAAAACAACAAACAAACATGATGCGGACGTTTGGAACCTATGGCAGCCGCTATGCCACTACAAAAATGGGCAGCTGCGCGATGTTTTCAGAGAAAAGCTCAATTTCGTACCGATTTTATAAGATACGTTGGTAATTAGAAAAAAGTCTAGTTACCCCTCACGAAACACTAGCTCTCACAAGTTGAATAATCCTCTATTAAAAAGTTTACAAGCTATGCAAACTAAAAGTTATACAAGTTTGTTCGAGACATATGTACTTTTATTAGAGAGCAATATTTGCTTTCAATGAAACTAAAATTTTGAAGTGAACTTAACACAAATCAAAGAACAGCCCGCATTTAAAAAATCATGGAAAAAAATGCTGAAGAACCAAACGGCCTATCTAAATGGAAATCCACTTTATTCATTAACAATTAAAAAAAGTCTCGTGTTCTGGTGCTTCGACCGATTTAACAAATGATATCTGAGCTCCTACTTGTGTTTCCCACGTCTGCTTGGTTTCCAGTCGCATTTTGGCATCGTTTCTTTGCTTCTCCTCAAGTTTTTTCTTCTCATTAGTGGCAGTGTCCAGATCCTTGACCTTGAGCGCACTGATGACGTTTCGCCACAGACTACGGGATTCATTCTCACCCTGTTCCTGAAGAGGTCTCACTTGCTTGGAGTTGCCCTTCATTGAAGTAGTATCAAGGAAAATTTCGGTGCTCGTTTTCTGAACAAAAACTTTGCTTGTGACTGCATTTATAACAAAAAAAAAAGCCTCTAATATGGATGAAACAAGCATTAAACTGAAGTCCAACAAGAAAAAGATCAATTTCAATGGCTGATTCATTTCATACAAGCGCTTCATTCAAGCCACTGCAAGCATGAATACGCTTGATTCATAGACAAACTCAGAACTTGTTTTACCTGTTGGTCCTTTTCCTAGAAAAACATCACCGCAATTTTTAAAAGATTTGAGTTTTCCATGTTTTGATGGTTCATTTATTTTTATAACTTACTTGTCCAGGAGACATAATATACATTTTGTCATTCCACTGTCCTTTTATGACGCAGAACTTAGAGCCTGATGGATCGAAGCAGTCACATGTAATCATATGGCGATCTTTGCTATAAAAATTCTAAAACAAAACAACTTTTTAATCTCAGGATTATAGAACTTTTGTAATATTCACAGAATGGAAAAAATAATTACTTTAGTATGGAACACGATAGCCGCTTTGTAGCCCGAGCTCTCGCATGTGATTTGACACTTTCCTCCCAGCTCAGCCCATGGCACTGTGAGAATGGACCTTCCGTATGCACTAGGAAACGTTACTGTATACTCCTCCTTTCTATCAAGCAGCTTCACTTTGGCTTCTCCTATCATATTCACTCCTAAAGCAGTAGTTGCTTAATAATTTTAAAAACAATCAATTTCTGCTGAGCTGAAAAAAAATCAGGTTTAGCAATATCAGTTCTTATAAACTGAAAAGAAGACTTACCTATGGATAGTCCCAAGAACTTGCTTTTCGGGTGAATGTAGCCGTTTACTTCAACTTTTTTGTCTATACACTCGGCATAGAATGCAGAAACTAAAATAACAATTTGACCATGACCATTTCTTGAATAAAAAACTTACTAAGGCTTAAATTATCATGAATACAGTATTACTATAACTAGTTGCGATTTCCTATGACCTTTTTACTCGGACTTAGAGCAACAATAGTGAGGCGTATTCGTAGGCGAAGAGCAGAGCTTCGCATCATTTGTGATTTCTCACTAACATATCCTAAGCCAGCGAACAAAAAACAAGATGGAAGCCTTTAAATAGCCTATCAAAAAAACTTATTTGTTAAAAATTTCAAAGAGAAAAATTCCAAAACAAACTAAAAAAAATTGGTACAACTAGAACTAAAAAGATAGTCAACAGACAGTTGGAAAAAAGTCAATAAAAGTCAGTGAACGAAAATACTGATTTATTTTACCAATACCACTTTCTTTTAAATGATTGACGCATTTTTCATAAAAACTAACCCAATTAGACAACATAGCCAACAGACAGTTGGAAAAAGACAACGATTGCCTTGAAACATTAAGAAAATTTGACTCGTTTTGTTCAATTTTCGTATTTCAAATAAAAAAATATACGGCTTGGAAAATTTTTTTATTCCCCGTGGAAATCTCAAACATAGCCAACAGACAAATAAAAAAAGTCAAGAATGTAAGGAAAGACAAATTTGTTTTTTCAAACATTTCGATTTTCAAATTTGAAATTATTAGGCATTTAAATTTGAAGCTGTTTTTATTAAACTAACCCAATTTGAGAAAACTGGATTTATAGATAAATAAGTTAATCATTCTGCTGGGAAATCCACTTTTTAACTAGAGGTCGATTACGGTTTTGTGTATTTACAATTTGCCTACTCGATAGTAGAAGTTGCCTTTAAACGCAAAAAAAAAACATTTTAAAAATTGAGCTCGAACAAACTTTACGACATCCCGAAAAAAATCATCACGACCTATATGAGTCTGAACTACGTTCACTGATTCATTAAAGCTTCAAATTATTGTCTTGAATGATGCTATTTTTGAGTAAAACACCTGCAGAAACAATATCTACGGCGTTTAATGAAAATTAAAGAACAAATATTGAACAGTCAAAATAATAACTTTGGTTAGTTTCTGTGAAACGAAAACAAAATTAATGTCATGAAAAAACTTTGAAATACGAATTCTAGTCTAATATTTTTAGCAATTTGTGCGATCCGGATGGGAGCATAAAAATTATGTTTCTCTCAGAACGACACACAGTTACGTCGCTAATGTGATAAAATATTAGCCGAAATCATTCGAGCCGAAAAAAAAATTCAAGCTAAAAAAACCACGAAGTCACGTGGTTATTATTTAACAAACTGTAGGAGTGAATTAAAAAGAAAATTAAGTGCAGCAAAAGAAAAACAATTTTGAGATTTGGCAACTGAGGCAAAACATATAAGCAGACAAACAATAGTCCGACAATAATTTAATTTTGAAACGGAATATTTCACGTTTGGAAAAAAAACAGGTCCTAGTCAGATTCGAACCAAGGACATTAACCGTTCAAGGCATATGCTTTACCTCCGACCTCGAATGAGACTCTCAAAACTTTGAATTCAATGTGAACCAAGAAACCGAGTCATAACAAGCGATTTGATAACGCTTGCTAACCGCAAGCGTAAAAATAATAGCAAAACTAGATCTACCAAAGTCGTGTCTAACTTGTGTCTATGTGTGTCTAACTTGTCTAGCTATAAAAATCAACATGACAAAATGAAGTTCAATTAGGATCCCAACAAAACTAACGAAGCGCCAAAAAAACCGAAAACACTTGAGAACACATCTATTGAGCTGAAAAAAAAAATGTTTTCATAGAAAAAAAACAAAATGTTTTTTAAACTGATCTCTCGCCCACAGGCAATTTTCTTGAAAAATAAAACCTAATCAAAGTTGATAAATTATAATCAACGCAAAAAAATTTGACACGAAAGGGAAGCCGCACATTGCAAAAACAGATTTGAAAACGGCAAAAAGTAGCGCTAGAATTGTAACGAAAAAATCTTTGTCACAGGCAAAGCTGAGCTACGCACCACTTGCGATACAACAATTATAGGATGAAATCACCATGACGCTAAAAAATTCGCAAACAGAACTTCCAACTATGTTACAATTGAAGAAAACCAAAAAAAAATAAAACAAAAAGCATTTTTGTTTTCGTATCTGAATTCATTTTCGTCTTTGGAGTTTTTCAGAGGTCCTAGTGGCGTCAAATTTGGGCACTCAAAAAAATTTGACCAGAGTCTTATTGGTCTCAAACCTACAACCGGATACTTTTTATTTAAAAAAATAAGCAAACACTGACGTGAAACGATACAAAATATAATAAAAATCAAACGGAAAAACAAATTAGTTTAAATTCAAAAAAATCGTTTTTGTCATAAAAATTGCAACAAGGGCCCAAAATAACCGAAAACGATTATCTGTACCATTGAAAACTATACAACGAGCTTTTGGAATGATAGAAAGAATCAGAAAATTCACTTCCGCGTAAAGTCCTTTCAGTGTAATTGAGCCGACAGAAAATAATCTAAATTAGCGAAAAACTTTCAGCTTGCAAAAAACCAGGTCTCATGGGTTTAATGGTCTCATGCATGGGTGTTACAGCAAATTTGAAGAAAGCTGAATCTAGAGTAACCAAGCCGACAAAAAGAAACAGACGGACGATAGTCAGAAAAAGCACAAAGCCTCCAGTTAACAAAAAAAGCAGGTCCCGGTCGGAATTGAACAAGCCTCTGCCGTCCCAAGCAGTTAAGATACCTCTACTTCAGATCCGCCGGATGGTTGTGGTTATTTGAGTTTGAATTTATAATTACCAAGCGGTAATAAAGCCGAAAATAGCTGAGAAGAACCCTTCAAGAGGAAAAAATTCAAACTAAAAAAAATACGTTAAGCCCTCTTTCCCCTCAGAACACATACATTTACACAATCACAGCAGTTTTTTTCAGTTCTCAAACGACAAAAGGAGGCCAAATAGTCTTTACAAATAACACACCGAAACCGATTAAGCCGAAAGGCGAAATTGAAAAAAAAAGAACATTTCTTAAATGTAGAAATCATATTTCAATTTGGCCGGTGTTTTTTCATGCAAAAACACTCAAAGCAATTCAAAAATGAACATTTGTTGCAGCAAAAATAAGCGATTCCTAGATGTGGCATTTAAGCCTACAAAACAAGGCGAAAAATATTAGGCCGACTATTTTATTTGAAACAAAAAATTTCCGTTTAAAAAAAAACAGGTCTCGGTCATATTCGAAACCAGGACATTTTCCATTCCAGGCTTACCTCCAAGCTATGTGTGCAGGAAACACTAAGAAACTTGAACTCATTATGAACCCAGGTACAAACAGGAGTTGTTAACCCGAAAAAAGGTATATGTTCCGATTTGATAACGCTTGCTAATCGCAAGCGTAAAAGACATACGGTCTGCGCAATCCATTTGCCGGCCTGAAGATTATGTCTCCAACGTCCTTCTCCATCATGTGCGCTTGTAATAAGAAAACACTGGCTATCAAAAAAGCGTATCGAATACATGATACAGATAATTTGAAATGTTGGAGCTGACAAATTTCATTTAAAAGAGCTAATTTACCGATTTGAGAAAGTTTAGGCTATCTTATTTTGCAGACAGAAAGTATGTATCAATGTCAATTGAAACTTTGATTTTTTATGCAAAATTACTCACATTTGTCAGATTGGTCTTTTTAATTGATTCTGCCTGTTCCACTTTTTTGCAACTCATTTTATCAAATGGCCAATGCTATGCAGCAAAAGAGACACCAAAATGATCACTACTATTTTACACAGACGCGAAGCTGCGCTTCATAAACACTTGCTAAACACTAACAAAAAGCATCTCTATCAAGTGAAAAAAGAAAAAGTAGAAAAACGCCTCGAATTAGCAAAAACTCGGCTACGTGTGGGATTCGAATATGCGACCTACTGCAATCAAGAGATTTTGAGTCTCACACACTCAGCCACGCAAGCTTAACAACCAACAAACAGTAGTCACGACTAAAACAACTACGTATGCTAACAAATTACCAATGCCATTCACGAAAGTGGCAACAAATACAAATCGAAACAATTTTGCAAGTAAAAATTTGGAATATAACAAAACTGAAGGCATCCAAACTAACTTTGCATGTAACAAATCGCAAAGCATAAAGTCACATTATGTATAAACTGTACAACTGTACCGGATACTTTTTATTTAAAAAAATAAGCAAACACTGACGTGAAACGATACAAAATATAATAAAAATCAAACGGAAAAACAAATTAGTTTAAATTCAAAAAAATCGTTTTTGTCATAAAAATTGCAACAAGGGCCCAAAATAACCGAAAACGATTATCTGTACCATTGAAAACTATACAACGAGCTTTTGGAATGATAGAAAGAATCAGAAAATTCACTTCCGCGTAAAGTCCCTTCAGTGTAATTGAGCCGACAGACAATAATCTAAATCAGCGAAAAACTTTCAGCTTGCAAAAAACCAGGTCTCATGGGTTTAATGGTCTCATGCATGGGTGTTACAGCAAATTTGAAGAAAGCTGAATCTAGAGTAACCAAGCCGACAAAAAGAAACAGACGGACGATAATCAGAAAAAGCACAAAGCCTCCAGTTAACAAAAAAAGCAGGTCCCGGTCGGAATTGAACAAGCCTCTGCCGTCCCAAGCAGTTAAGATACCTCTACTTCAGATCCGCCGGATGGTTGTGGTTATTTGAGTTTGAATTTATAATTACCAAGCGGTAATAAAGCCGAAAATAGCTGAGAAGAACCCTTCAAGAGGAAAAAATTCAAACTAAAAAAAATACGTTAAGCCCTCTTTCCCCTCAGAACACATACATTTACACAATCACAGCAGTTTTTTTCAGTTCTCAAACGACAAAAGGAGGCCAAATAGTCTTTACAAATAACACACCGAAACCGATTAAGCCGAAAGGCGAAATTGAAAAAAAAAGAACATTTCTTAAATGTAGAAATCATATTTCAATTTGGCCGGTGTTTTTTCATGCAAAAACACTCAAAGCAATTCAAAAATGAACATTTGTTGCAGCAAAAATAAGCGATTCCTAGATGTGGCATTTAAGCCTACAAAACAAGGCGAAAAATATTAGGCCGACTATTTTATTTGAAACAAAAAATTTCCGTTTAAAAAAAAACAGGTCTCGGTCATATTCGAAACCAGGACATTTTCCATTCCAGGCTTACCTCCAAGCTATGTGTGCAGGAAACACTAAGAAACTTGAACTCATTATGAACCCAGGTACAAACAGGAGTTGTTAACCCGAAAAAAGGTATATGTTCCGATTTGATAACGCTTGCTAATCGCAAGCGTAAAAGACATACGGTCTGCGCAATCCATTTGCCGGCCTGAAGATTATGTCTCCAACGTCCTTCTCCATCATGTGCGCTTGTAATAAGAAAACACTGGCTATCAAAAAAGCGTATCGAATACATGATACAGATAATTTGAAATGTTGGAGCTGACAAATTTCATTTAAAAGAGCTAATTTACCGATTTGAGAAAGTTTAGGCTATCTTATTTTGCAGACAGAAAGTATGTATCAATGTCAATTGAAACTTTGATTTTTTATGCAAAATTACTCACATTTGTCAGATTGGTCTTTTTAATTGATTCTGCCTGTTCCACTTTTTTGCAACTCATTTTATCAAATGGCCAATGCTATGCAGCAAAAGAGACACCAAAATGATCACTACTATTTTACACAGACGCGAAGCTGCGCTTCATAAACACTTGCTAAACACTAACAAAAAGCATCTCTATCAAGTGAAAAAAGAAAAAGTAGAAAAACGCCTCGAATTAGCAAAAACTCGGCTACGTGTGGGATTCGAATCTGCGACCTACTGCAATCAAGAGATTATTAGTCTCACACACTCAGCCACGCAAGCTTAACAACCAACAAACAGTAGTCACGACTAAAACAACTACGTATGCTAACAAATTACCAATGCCATTCACGAAAGTGGCAACAAATACAAATCGAAACAATTTTGCAAGTAAAAATTTGGAATATAACAAAACTGAAGGCATCCAAACTAACTTTGCATGTAACAAATCGCAAAGCATAAAGTCACATTATGTATAAACTGTACAACTCAAACAAATTGCGAGACATTAAATTACAAAATTTCTGAAATCGAGTTTTCATTATTATTATGTTGTTTGAAACAAATCATTTTTTTCCGGTTCATTTGATGAATTAAAAATGCATCAACTGTGGTAACTAATTACTTTCGAATGTCAAAGCACATGCTATCAAAAAGCTGTAAAGGTCCCCCACCAATTTTGGGATGACGCACCAATATTTGCGACTTAGGTTGGAGAAAAAGAAGGTTCTTACTAATACACTCGCTTCGCAAGTGTAATGAGAGTTGGGGTCGAAAAAAATTGGTTTCGTAACATAACACTACGTTCCTCGGTAGCTCGGATCAAAAAAAAGAATGCTTAAAATATGTCAGTTGTTTCAGACAAGAAAATTATTTAATCATTCGGTTAGAAAAGTTGTTCAAGTAGGAAAAGCTAGGTTCCGATTTGATAACGCTTGCAAATCGCATCTGTTAGAATATGACTTAAAATAAATTCAAAAATCAAACAAACATTCAGTCTACTCACTGGGTGGATGGTGAGACACTTGCTCAGCTACAAATGTAGCGTCTCCTGCACAAGCCCAAGGCACCGGTCCTGACTCAACCAGCTGTTTTTGACACTCGGCTCCATTTTGAAGCGAATCTCTTTGAATGCCTTCCTTTACATTTCCGCAACTTTCATCACAACTCGGAAGCAAATTTTGAGAAAAAGAAGGTAAAATTGTTGTCGGCAGCTTCCAATGACAACGAAAAGTTTCACCTAGTATAGGATTGAACGGTTTTTTGGCGACGGCTCCTTTCCGACCAGTGTGGAATGAAGACAGATACCACTTAACTATATACATGAAGCGCAACTTCGCATTATTTTCCCTTGTCGTTCTGAAACGATGACGCAAATAAAAAACGTATCGGAGAAAACAGCTTAATTATTTTCATCAATTTTACTAACAGCACAAAAAATTCAGGATGAGCAAAGAAGTCTGCGTACATCTCCAGTAAGCTCCGCTTCTCCAAGATAAAAGTGGGTAAAGTCACACGGGTGAGATCCATACCAACTTTAACTTGGGTTGCCAGATGCTTCAAAACAGTTTGATGCCCGGTCACATCCACTAAACAATGAAAACTTTTAGGGACCTATCGTCTCAGCTTCAAAGAAAAAAAAACAAAAAAAATTACATTCTTCTTCTTCATCATCGCACACTGACTGTTTACTGTTCAAGTTGGTGATTTCGTCGGCTTCGCCTATATCTTCAACCGGTGCTTTTTCCTTTGGTGAGCTGCCGACCAAAATTTTTTCATGGTTATCCACTTGTGCAGGTCCATTATTTGAATCAATACTATTCTGCTTGCCAAAGCTGGGCTTCGTCAATGACAGCCTCCTAAACCCCCACTTCTTCGAATTTGATTTATCAGGGGTACCAAAAGGCATCTCAATTCATTCTGATTCAATTGCTTTTGATGGAGTAAATAATCTGCTGCTTATTGAATTCAGGTCAGCAAAATAACTGAAAAGGTAAATAGAAATATCTCATTACACGAAATGGATGAAATGACAGCCATATTTCAATTAATTTTTTCTATTCAAAAACTGAATTAAAACATCATCCGTCCAGTGTAATTATGGCCCGTGAACAAGCTGGATTGGGCATAGCCAGCATCATGTAAAATCATCAACACACTTTCGAATAATTAGCGCACACAACACAGCAAAGCTCTAAACACAGCTCTACATGCTTTTCACCGTCTCTGCCAAAGCCAGTTCTTTTGGTGGTTTTCCAAACATCGGGTCGACAAAAACGTTACTGCTTTCCAGCTTCGACCAGAACGCTCAAATTAACTTACTTATAAGCAAAAATAGTGAGCTCATGGCTGGGTCTCAGTATCCCCAGACCACCAGGTCACTCCTAAAAAAAAACAGGGCTACAACTATTTATTATAATACTACTGTTTTTGTTCAGTAGATAAAAATCATCATCTCCATCGAAGATGGATCAACCCTTCCCTTAACTCCTAGCTTCTCATAATCTGAAAACGAATTAAGATTTTATTAATTCAATTCAGGATATCCAGAAGCTAAAATTTATAAAATAGAGAGTTACAATTTTCTCCCGAGACCCCTCCGGATTCTGGAATCCGAAGTAACGCTCTTGTTTCTTCTCGGAAAGATGGACAGGCCGTCCCAATACCCTCCCTGATTCTCGGGATTCGTACTGTAATGATGGTAGCGGCATAACCGTTACAACTCGGAATGGTCTCATCGTCGTTTTCTATTCCAATCTCGATCTGTCTCTCACAACTGCTGTTTACCGTTTTTCTCAACGACTTCTGTTGTTCTGTTTTTTTTTCACAGTTTTCAGTTGGCGCAAAATTTCTACGTTGTCAAGTGTCTTTCTTTCCGAACGAATTTTTGAAAATTTTTATGTCAGTTCAAATTAACCCTTCCGCGTTCGTAAAAATTAACAATTAAGACCACTTATTCGTTATAACCGTTAATCTTTCCACTCCGATGTCGAAACAAAAATTCGAACTCGAACTTGCATTTTGATACATTTTGGTCGAATATCACAATCTAAGTGTTAGCTTCCTGCTCCTGAACTCATCTCGCGTGTTGATCCCCGGCCTCAGTTTCCCAACATGCAGCGCTTCCGATGTTAGGAGTTTCATTGCGTTGTTTGAATCATCTATTATCTCCCAATTCAGTTGTGGAGTGGTCGCTTCCTCCCCACACTGACGTATGTCCTCTTTTTTGTGTTCCGCAATCCTTGTGGCCAAATGTCGCACAGTTTGTCCAACATAGGTAGAATTAAATCCACAACAAGACAATTTGTAGACCACATTGGAATTAAACAGTTTTCTGACTTCTAACGTCAATGTCCCGATTTAAAACTTTTTCTCGTAGGTTTAAAAACTGTTGGGACGCAGGACGGTCCTGCCAACCAACAAACTAAAATTATCCTACTATGCTTCTTCCTGTGCCAGTCGGTCATGTCTGGAGGTTTGACCTTGAGAAACACGTAATTTTGGAGTGAAATTTTAATTTTAAAAATTTCGAATGGAGCCTGTCATGCTCAGTTTTCTCGAACCAACTGAAAACAAAAAGTGAAAAATCAGAACGACCGAATTAACAATTGCGGGAAACTACTCAAGAAAAAGGCAGGAAATTGCTATTCGCAATTTCTCGATACGAAATAATAAGAGAGTAGAGCTGTCTTATCCCGAAAACAGGAGAATATAACACAGACTTGAGAAAGGACGATTATTCGAACGGAACAGAGTGAACATTCAATGGAAGAGAGGACAACTCGAGTGTCCCGATGGTTCATACAGAAACTTTGATTCTTGAGACAAAACTTACTTCTGTTGTTAAAACTAATTAGTATCAAACTTATTTAGTTATATTATTTAATCCTCGAGCTACTTATCTTTTAATTACTCCTCATACTCAAGCGCATCGACATGTGAGTTCTCAATTTAAATTTCTCGAGTGCATTTTATGATAGTTATGTTGAGATAAGGCGAGTTTTAGGTTGATCTGAAATGGATCAAAGTTCTACTGTCCAATAAAAAGTAACTAAGCGGATTGTTCCGACCCGGTTTTTAACGGCGTTCATGTATTTTGGGTATTTCGAGACCTAAGTATGGGGACGTTTTTATTTCTAGAGTGGGGGGGTATTTTGGTAGTGGCCTTTAAGCTGTAACGGGTTCTAGTCTCATGTCGCAAGCGAACCGAATTGGCTCCGACCGTTCTTGAGGTAGAAAAACACAAGAGATAGTGTCCCTGACTCTTGAGCCAATGGTTATAGGGCCTATTTTTCTTAAGCCTCATGTGTGACTGCAGTAGACGAATGTTACATAGTGTTTTTATGGCGCTCCTGGGTGTTTTTACGACATCATGACTACGGAGTCGAACCCACTTGACACAGCTCCGGGCTACATGCCCATTCTAGAGTACCGGTGGTACGGTTCAGCGGGAACGTGTAAACCTTCCGGTTGTACCATAATAGCTTTTTAAGAAAACTCAAGAAAACTTCCTGGTACGCTCTCCGAACGAGGTTTAGCTAACCGAGTGAAAGGGGGCAACTAGGGGGACAAAAACACGAGCAAAAAAGAATACAAAAAGGAACAAAAACCATAAAACGAAAAAAGACAGTGACTTTGATACCAAATTAGTTGGATCAAACCTTTGTATTAATTAAATAGTATACACATACTGTTTTATAAGACCGATCGTTTCGATCAATCTAGCAATTTAAACCAGTGAATTCAGTAAGGTGCCCGAGTGGGGGGCGTTGTTAAGGGTTTTCAGATAGATTGCGACCCAACCGGACCACTAGGAGACTTGACTGGAAAGGGTGACCAGTCGAGTGGGAAAGTGGTTCACAAGGATCGAAACGGACCACTAGGAGACTTGACTGGAAAGGGTGACCAGTCGAGTGGGAAAGTGGTTCACAAGGATCGAAACGGACCACTAGGAGACTTGACTGGAAAGGGTGACCAGTCGAGTGGGAAAGTGGTTCACAAGGATCGAAACGGACCACTAGGAGACTTGATTGGACAACTCCCAAGGGTACCAGTTGTTTCAGACAAGAAAATTATTTAATCATTTGGTTAGAAAAGTTGTTCAAGTAGGAAAAGCTAGGTTCCGATTTGATAACGCTTGCAAATCGCATCTGTTAGAATATGACTTAAAATAAATTCAAAAATCAAACAAACATTCAGTCTACTCACTGGGTGGATGGTGAGACACTTGCTCAGCTACAAATGTAGCGTCTCCTGCACAAGCCCAAGGCACCGGTCCTGACTCAACCAGCTGTTTTTGACACTCGGCTCCATTTTGAAGCGAATCTCTTTGAATGCCTTCCTTTACATTTCCGCAACTTTCATCACAACTCGGAAGCAAATTTTGAGAAAAAGAAGGTAAAATTGTTGTCGGCAGCTTCCAATGACAACGAAAAGTTTCACCTAGTATAGGATTGAACGGTTTTTTGGCGACGGCTCCTTTCCGACCAGTGTGGAATGAAGACAGATACCACTTAACTATATACATGAAGCGCAACTTCGCATTATTTTCCCTTGTCGTTCTGAAACGATGACGCAAATAAAAAACGTATCGGAGAAAACAGCTTAATTATTTTCATCAATTTTACTAACAGCACAAAAAATTCAGGATGAGCAAAGAAGTCTGCGTACATCTCCAGTAAGCTCCGCTTCTCCAAGATAAAAGTGGGTAAAGTCACACGGGTGAGATCCATACCAACTTTAACTTGGGTTGCCAGATGCTTCAAAACAGTTTGATTCCCGGTCACATCCACTAAACAATGAAAACTTTTAGGGACCTATCGTCTCAGCTTCAAAGAAAAAAAACAAAAAAAATTACATTCTTCTTCTTCATCATCGCACACTGACTGTTTACTGTTAAAGTTGGTGATTTCGTCGGCTTCGCCTATATCTTCAACCGGTGCTTTTTCCTTTGGTGAGCTGCCGACCAAAATTTTTTCATGGTTATCCACTTGTGCAGGTCCATTATTTGAATCAATACTATTCTGCTTGCCAAAACTGGGCTTCGTCAATGACAGCCTCCTAAACCCCCACTTCTTCGAATTTGATTTATCAGGGGTACCAAAAGGCATCTCAATTCATTCTGATTCAATTGCTTTTGATGGAGTAAATAATCTGCTGCTTATTGAATTCAGGTCAGCAAAATAACTGAAAAGGTAAATAGAAATATCTCATTACACGAAATGGATGAAATGACAGCCATATTTCAATTAATTTTTTCTATTCAAATACTGAATTAAAACATCATCCGTCCAGTGTAATTATGGCCTGTGAACAAGCTGGATTGGGCATTGCCAGCATCATGTAAAATCATCAACACACTTTCGAATAATTAGCGCACACAACACAGCAAAGCTCTAAACACGGCTCTACATGCTTTTCACCGTCTCTGCCAAAGCCAGTTCTTTTGGTGGTTTTCCAAACATAGGGTCGACAAAAACGTTACTGCTTTCCAGCTTCGACCAGAACGCTCAAATTAACTTACTTATATGCAAAAATAGTGAGCTCATGGCTGGGTCTCAGTATCCCCAGACCACCAGGTCACTCCTAAAAAAAAACAGGGCTACAACTATTTATTATAATACTACTGTTTTTGTTCAGTAGATAAAAATCATCATCTCCATCGAAGATGGATCAACCCTTCCCTTAACTCCTAGCTTCTCATAATCTGAAAACGAATTAAGATGTTATTAATTCAATTCAGGATATCCAGAAGCTAAAAGTTTATAAAATAGAGAGTTACAATTTTCTCCCGAGACCCCTCCGGATTCTGGAATCCGAAGTAACGCTCTTGTTTCTTCTCGGAAAGATGGACACGTCGTCCCCATACCCTCCCTGATTCTCGGGATTCGTACTGTAATGATGGTAGCGGCATAACCGTTACAACTCGGAATGTTCTCATCGTCGTTTTCTATTCCAATCTCGATCTGTCTCTCACAACTG